TTATATATATGTCTCTGCTTGTATCTCTAGAAGTATAAAACCCACCGATATATAATTGTTTCGAGTTCTAAATTTCATCAGAATCGGAATTATCTTTCAGAGAAATAAATGCACTATAAAATCTTGAAATTATCCACAGGAAACTGTACTGTGACCATTATAGTTGCTAACTTCTACCTGGGACTCTTACACTAAACATTGGTGTAATAGTCCCAGTTTCTACATTATTTGGTCTCTGGTGGAAAGCTGTCTCATTGGCAATCATACCACATCTCCTTATTTATATATATATATATATATCGTTTTAATATTCAGAGCCATATTCAGGTCTTTTTATTTTATAAAACGACAGTCTTTTTTCTTTAGGACGTTAAGCAACCAATAATCAATCAATCTTTTTTCTTTAACATAATCTAATTTTGAAGAATATCCATTGAAAACATAAGCATGATTTTTTCAAGTTCCAATAAATCTACTTAATTGTATATTTTTAGAAACATTTGGGTCTTTTCTTTTTCCCCGTTCACGTCCGAGTGTTGGCTTCTTGTTTTTGAAAAACGTTTTTCTTCAAATAAATATTAAGTATACTATTTGCAGAATGTCAGATACAGTTTGGTATAAAAAGATGTGGTATGAGTGCCAATGAGACAACCCTCCATCCAAGTCAAAATTTATAAAAGTAAACCATTATAGGTCAAAGTACGGTCTTCAACACGGAGCCTTGGCTCACACAGAACAGCAAGCTATAAAGGCCCCAAAAATTACTAGTGTAAAACCATTCAAACGGGAAAACCAACGGTCTAATCTATATAAAAAACGAGAAACGAGAAACACTTATGAACCACATCAACAAACAACAACTACTGAACATCAGATTCCTGACTTAGGACAGGTGCAAACAATTGCAGCGGGTTTAAACGTTTTAATGGTACCAAACCTTCACCCTTATCTGAAACAATAGTGTAACATCACAACATATAAAAACACACTATAAAATATCAATTGAAATGGCTTAACTCAATCAAAAGACATATTAACACCAGTGAACATACACTGAACAAACAAATTTGATCTATGATACAATGCAAATACAAAATAAATAAACTAAGAAAAGAATAATTAAAGTAACATGTTATACCGCTGTGAAATGTTTGGGCCTTTTTCAGATTTACCTACTAGTATTCAGGTGGAAGTTTAACCATCTTAAAATATTTTTATAGTTTTTAGTTCAAACTACTGGAATTAGTGAATAATTGTGAAGATAAATAAATTTAAACACATATTAGAATTCCTTGTCTTCGTGTCCTTTAATGCTATCGTTTAACCCCAAGTTTTGTCATTACATACATAATCTATAATTCTTTAAAACTTGGTCGATTTTGATTAAATGACTCACCAACAGGTTCCAAATAAGAAGGAAATCCAGTGAATAAATAATATTCAATTTATTTTTAATGAATTCAACCGTAAAATTGATGTCCATTCAAGTCTTTTCATCTCCCCATTCAGGTCTGAGTTTCGGCATCAGAAAAAATATTTTTCATCTATAAAATGGGTTGAATTTAATAAATTTCATTTTACAATTTTTTAATTTGATTTGTTTTTTGATTTTTAGTGTGTTTTAACGCAACTTTTAAGCACCGCTTTTGGGCTATTTCGTGGTGGCCAGTTTTTATTGGTGGAGAAAGCCGGAGTGTCCAGAGAAAACCACCGACCTTCGATAGAAAAACTGACAATCCTAGTCAATTAAGATTGAAGTCGAGTGCACCCGCACGAGCGGGATTCGAACTCACAACCTCAGTGTTGACTGGCTAGTGATTACAGTAGTAACTACTTAGACCACTCGGCCACCAAGGCCCCTTTTTTAATTAGAAGGTAATCTATTGAAAAGTGACTCGAAAAGATATTGCAATTTGAATAATAAATCGACCTGTGTATTTTCAGGTTCATCAAGGTCCACGTAAATGTTGAGCATGTGCTGATTAAATAATATATGAGCCTCGTCGGATAGAAATCGACCTTATGCAAGTGCACGTATACATGTACGTGTATAAGACTTTGATTGATTTTAGAACATTCAAATACTTAACAAAAGATGAATTTGGGTCAGTTTTGTAGGGTTCTTATATCAACTCAATTTTTAAACAGTTATAGACTTTGCATAGAAATTTTTTTGACCCGAAATAAGTTAACAGATGTATTGACATTCATTTGCATAAGGTCGATTTCTATCCGACGCAGCTCATATGTTCAATGAAAATTTTAAAAATTTCATGTTTTATTTGAGACAAATATTTCAAAATTTGAAAATATTTCAAAATTAAAGAAAAATATTTCAAAATTTTACAGCCGATTTCAATGAGTGTGTTGCTAAAAGTAATATCTTTAAGTGGTTAGCTTGCTTACTAGCTGAACCGTGAAGTCATTGTTAGGTAATGTATACTACCCTCCTTTCGAAATAGCCTATTCCTACAAACAGATAGATTGGTTATCTGTCGGACTAGTCTACTCTTAAAAGAGGGTAGTTTACCTAACCTAACAATGCCTTCACGGTTCAGCTAGCTAGCAAGCAAGCTAACCAAAGATATTACCTTTGCCTACACACTCATTGCTGTATAAAAAACATTTCAAATTTTAATTTAGAAAACACAAATTTTATTGAACAAAATTTATATAAATTTGAAGGAACGAAAAAGAAATTGCAATTTAAAAATTGACCGTGGCCTATCATGGCTATTTTCAGGTCCGTTCTTCTCTTTATTGTTATCCTCATCAAGATACGAGTTAATAACTGTTTTAAATCTTCCAAATGCACACAAATGTGATCAGGGTTGTTTTTTTTTTTAAAATAAATTGGTTAAAATATCATTCAGAAACATGAACCACTCAGTGGCGTAGCTACCTAAGGCTCGTCTAGGCACGTGCACGTGCCTGTACATAAATTTGCCAATTTATGCCAATTAGAGGTTCCCAGTCCAACACTTTAATATTCTATATACAGAAGGCAGCCGCTAGGTTTTCAATATGATGGACAATTTTTTCTAAACAATGTAAGTTTTAATCATATTTTATTAAACTGGTCACAGAATCTGACCTGCACACAGAATATGAATATGCGTCGATTAAAATGAAAACGATAAATCCGTTTAGTTGCACATCTTTCTCAAACTTCAACCATTATCATGCATAACAAAATAAAATTGGAAAAATGTCTAGGGACTTTTACGTTTTCAATTATTTGTCCATTGCTGTTATATATGTGATCATTGCAACTATCCAACAGACAACCGTTTTGTGTGTATGCGTGAGGTCTATTTAACGTATACAAAACTTGCTTAACTGTCGATATCGATTTGCGCCAAAAATGAAATTATTTGCGAAAATGCTTCTTCTGCAACCCTTCATTTTGAAAACTTTAAGTTTCATTTGTGCCAGTAAAACAATCATAAAATTGCGCCAATTTTATCAATTCATTTATTTTTTTATATAATTATATATATATAATTCGTCTCAAATTTAGCCCAACAATGTTAGATTTTCAAATTTGCGTAAGCAAATTTTTGTTCTTCCCTCAGTGGGATACGAACCCTTACGTCTGTGACATCGCAACCTTTAATTTTCGCTGAGCAGAGGTAAAATCATCGAAATATTCTTTATTAAGCTGAGGACAACCCATGCTTTGCAAATTTTAGGGGGGCACACGACCGCCACGCCCCGCCTGAATCCGCCCCTGTTAAAGGATGATAATGTTAATTACCATGCCGCAACTTCAAATTTTTAATTTTATTATACACGTCTAAACATGTGACAACTTTATGACAAACATTCTCCATCGGATAACACGTGTAACGCGTGTTTAGTAGTCTCAGTACAGGGCTAACACCATATATATATATATAATTCGTCACAAATTTAGTCCAACAATGTTAGATCTTCAAATTTGCGTTAGCAAATTTTTGTTCTTTCCTCAGCGTCTGTGACATCGTGGCAACACCGTATAAAAATATAGCTTTCGGTGTATAACCCCGTGTTATCCGATGGAGAATGCAATTAAGGGGATAATATTGATCCGTAATTGCGTCGTTTTCAAAAGGTCATATTGGGAATCCATACGCAAAAACGCGGTTGCGTACAAATCGAAAATTATTTTCGACATAAAATGGTCCAAAATGCCTACACTTAAAATCTAACTACGTTCTTGAACGTTGTACTGAAACTTTTTATTGGAGTATATTTGAGTATATTGGGGTAGACTCTGGGGGTAAAAACGGAACAAGTTAGGATGAAAAAACGGTCATTTAGAATTACATATATTTATAAAATTAAGTATTATTGTCGTTAGAATAACACTAAAAGGCCTAAAATAACATTATTATTCAGTGAAATTATGTTGAAACTGCCAGTTTGTTTGGGTATAATGGGGTATGTTGGGGTAAAAAGTTGCACCCTTAATTTACGTTTTTTTGTCAAGTGTCTTAACATTGATTTTGTTTATATTTAAAACTGTATTTTATATGTATTTTTCTCCTTTTTCATTTAAGCACCTCAATATTCTTTATTTTTAATTTTTTTTTTACGAATTTTGTTCGGAACAAATCTAGCTTTATGCATACGGGCCCAGACCCTCAAATATACACCTAGGATTATCGTACTAGCAATATATTATGTCCCAGCTTACACCCGGTATAAATTACTGAAAAATCACTGCCCGGCAATTCTTTATAGTGTTGGCAGAGACATATAATGTATTATATGTCTCTGGTGTTGGTAATGTGAGAACATTTCAGTTTGATATAAACCTCCAAGTTCAGGATGTTAATTTTGGAGATCAATTTTGAAAAGGTTAATCAGAGACATGTATAGCATTTAACGAGAAAAAAGTAAAATTAATATTCTACAGTTGTGCTCCTGCATTGGAACATGATAAAAACAACGAGAACGAAGTCGATAAAAAAAAATCACATTCTCGTCTCTGTCCTCTCTCCAAATGGGATCCTAGTAAAACACTTCTCCACGATTTTTTGACCTCAGAAATATTCCAATGCTGAGTGCCTTTGTTTCATTTTTAAACTGTAAGTAAATAGATACAGACGATCAATCCGCGACCTGAACCAAATGAACGTTTATAATGACAGTATCATTTATAATTTGTCATGAAACACGTGTTTACGTAAATCTGATAATCCTCGTAGTTTTTGTTTTGCACGTGCGCACATGTATGATACTATAAGTATAACAACATATTTGAATTATAATAGCTCAATAAATGCGAGTGTTATTCCTAGCTGACATGGACTGGTTTTCATCTTACAGAGTTAAAAGATTAACCAAATCAGCCATTTGTTGGCAATGGATATTTCATCAGAAAATTGTATTTAAAAGCAGGGTTAGAAAATAAAGCTGTAGTTTCTGCAAAAATGCAGGTCTTGTAATTAAGTTAGAAAATACATCTATTAACCATTTGTCAGTGACATTTCTAAAATGAACGTTGTGTCTTAGCTTATTACCTAAAATCACACAAGTTCCAGCAAAATATTGCATCACAATATAAAAATTTTTACATCGTAATTAGGAAATGATTGTTGCTTTGTGCCAGAAGGTTATTCAGAGATAGATCAAGGGTCTTTCGGAAACAAAATTCAGCTAAATACTGAAAGTGTAAATACATTTATTATGACGTAATATGCTTTTTTGGCTTGGATCAAAGGATCCTAGATTATGTTTTATAATTATTTTTCAGGTTCTATAGTATTCTTTAGTTTGTTTTGAAAACTTTCATTGTTAATTTCTTACAAGTGACATATATGTTCCTAGCATGGTTTTCTGACAAGGAACATATGACAAATGTAAGATTGATTGATTGTTGGTTGCTTAACATCCAGTGACAAATATTTCATGCATATTCAGGACGAGAACAAATTAACAATAAATACAATAAGTAGGTTCTGTAAAGAAGGCTTCTGGGATTAAGGTCGGAGAAATTTAGACTGCCACGGGAAATGAGGGTATATTGGATAGGGAAAGAAATTAAGCTTTGCAACAGGTCAACTACGGAACCCTCAAAGAGTTGTTGCAAGGGTTCTTAACGTGCAAAGAGCATGGCACTCTCTTTACACGAGACATCGGATTTTACGTCCCCATTCTGACCGGACGTGGCTGCAAATTTGTACATCCCGCACAGCCAAACGGACGCCCCACTTTAGCAAGGGTTTTACTGCCGGTTGGAGGAAGACCATTTGTGACCATACTTCTATTCCCCAGTCACCCTTGGGGGGGGGGGGGGGGGACAAATGTAAGACAAGGGACATGTACACGTATGTCCCTAACACAGTCAAAGAGTAAACCACTCATAAAATGCAAAAATTTTTGATGAAAAAGAACATATTCAAATTTAAAATCAGGTTTCATAAATTTTTGTTGATTTTTAGATATATATAGATTTCTTTTATATCCAGGCTTTGCCAAATCATAAGATAAAAGTCCTGGGCTTGGAACTGGCCATATAACTGTTCAACCCAATGTTTTAAATGTATTCAAACTAAAAAATGTATATCAAGCATGATAATTGAGAAATCTTTATTATATATTCATCTGACATTGTAGGAAACTAAAGATAGAAGATGTGATCAATTGAGGAAGTTGAGTGGCTAAAACTATTCCAGCATTACCATGGAGCACCAGTTTTCAGTAGCTGATTGGGCAGTGTTTGTCAGCATACTGGTCATTTCAGCATGTATTGGGATATACCATGCTTTAACTGGAGGAAAACAGAAAACTACCAAAGAGTTCCTAATGGGTAACAGAGAAATGAGTTGTCTCCCTGTTGCTGTCTCAATCCTTGTCTCATTCCAATCAGCCATTTTGATTTTAGGTACATTACAAAATGTATATACATATATTGGTCATTTGTAAAGTGAACCAAAATTTGATATTTTATTGTCTAGATTTTTTGCTTCAAGTTTAGTATTTTGGTTAAATAAATTTAGAATATCTTTTAATTTTAGTTTCAACATGTTCAAAGAAACTTGAATTCAATATCTTTTCTTTGTTTTAATTTGCAGCTTAGCTCATACAATTTGTTTGTCATAGAAAAATGAAGTTTTATTCAGATACAAATAATAATCATATCTTTTTTAATAACATGTCAAATTTTCAATTTAAAAAAAAAATTACATGAAATTATTAGAGTCAGCACGTAATTGATAATTATTGAAATAAGTTTATTTGTTCAATTTAAATTTCTTTTTTTCAATGACCAGGTGCTCCGGCAGAAATGTACACAAAAGGGACCCAGTATTATTTATATGTGTTTGGTCAGATGTCTGCAGTTGTCTTGGCAACCATTTTATTTGTACCATTATTTTATCCTCTCAAGATGACGAGCATGTATCAGGTATTATAGAGATATCTTTGTTTTGTTTCAATTGTTAGATGTGTTGTCTCTATATCAGACACATGTTGATTGATTGATTTTTGGTTCTTTAACGTCCAGTGGACTAGTGTTGAAAAAAGGTTTGTGTGAAAAGCAGTCTTTGCGATCAACTGCAGGCCCACCAGCCCAGGCTTGTAAAAATGCAGTCGGGCCTGTAAAAATTATCTCTACAGGCCAATAGAATCAACTAAAATGTTCATTAAATTCTGTTTTGGGTCTGTAGATTCTATTAGTTACACAGTGTGCAATTGTCCTAATACGAAAGCCAAACCCAATATGAATTTTATTGACCCGATATTTTGACAATTGCACACTGTGTAACGAATTTATCCTGTTTTTTATGACACCACGTCAGTAATAAACACTTGGAAGCATCTCAAAAATATCTTTTTTTTATTAGGTCAATAGTATAAGGGAGATAATTAGAATTGACTTAATAAAAAAATTCACTGAATTATATTAGGACATTCTCAGCCAATCAAACTGTGAGAAATTACTCTAAATCAGGATAAAAAAAGTTTATGGAGAAGACTGGTGAAAAGACAAGATTAGGGGTTATTTTACCAAAATAGTATATAATATAATATGATACATTCACAGTGAAGAAAAATCGTAAAATGAAACCAGTTTGTATGTGGAAAAGAGGGAGATACCAAGGGGACAATTAAAAACCATAATTGAAGAAAAAAAAACAGAAAACACCATGGACAGAAAGAAAGAAATAATAATTCTTCAACATAAAAAGCAAGCTAGGATGCAGTTGATGACTCAAATGTTGAAAAAAATTAGATGAGCAAATATCCCTCGAGTCAAAGAAATGTTTTGTTTAAGTTATATTTGTCATTCATGTTTGTAGATTTTATTCAGTTATAAGTCCCCTACCGACGAAGTCGAAGGGGACTTTAGGTTTGCACTCCGTCCGTCTGTCCATCTGTCAGTCCGGCAAATCAGTTTTCCAGACTTTTTTTTTCGTGCTTGAAGATATTGATTTGATATTTGGTTTATTGATTTATCATGACAAGTTACAGGTCAAGTTCAATTTTCACGATTTTAGCTTTTCTCTTTATTCAGTTAAAGCCCTTTCCCTAGAATAAAATTTTTGATGAAATACTTATCAATTAGTAGATTTCTGTTCAAAGGGAAATAACTCATTTTTTAAAAGACAAAATGACATTTTGGATTTTTTTCTTTTTCTTTGGTAAATTGTTTGAAGAATTTAGTGGTAGGTTTGTTTGTCATTCTTGAAGATATTGATTTGATAATTAGTATATAGTATTATCATGACAATTACAGATCAAGTTGGAATTTTGTCCCAGTCTGATAATTTTGTGCAGAGTTATGGTCTTTGGACATAGAAAATTCACTTAAATAATCAGTTTTCAACAGTTTTTTTCGTCATGCTTGAAGATTTTGACTTGATATTTTATGTAGTTTACACCATGACAAGTTATAGAACGAGTTAGAATTTCGTTCCATTACAATGAATTTGTACCCAGTACTCACAAAATGCTTGTTTATAAAATATTTGAATTATTTATATTTCATGTACAATAATTATTATTTTTCTGAATTTCTGAATGATTTGATTTTGAGATAATCTTTTTCTTCAGTATTTAGAAATGAGATACAATTCGAAGGCAGCTAGATTAACAGGAACAATCATCAGCAACCTCTCTATGGTAAAAGGATTTACACAAAATGTATCTGTGCATGTTCATTGTCATTTGTAACCTCATTTTTAGCTCACCGGTCGGGCCCCATGTGAGCTTATGCCATCACTTGGCGTCTGTCGTCATCCGTCGTCTATCGTCGTAAACTATTTCAAAAATCTTCTCCTCTGAAACTACTAGGCCAAATACCTATAAACTTTAACTAATTGGCCCATAAACAAAAATGTTTACTAGTGAATATGGACGTCATACTAAACTCTGAAACTACTGGGCCAATTACCTTCAAACTTTAACTAAAGGTTCCTTAGGGTATCTTGTTTATAATATGTATCCGAAGTTTTGATCCATTGACAAACATGGCCGCCATGGCTAAAAATAGAACATAAGGGTCAAATACAGTTTTTGGCTTATATCTCAAAAACTAAAGCTTTTAGAGCAAATCTGACACGGGGTAAATTTGTTCAATTGGTCAAGATCTATCAGCCCTGAAATTATCAGACGAATCGAACAACCCATTGTTGGGTTTCTGCCACCAAATTGGTAGTTTTAACAAAATTTTGCAGTTTTTTGTTATCTTGAATATTATTATAGATAGATATAAACTGTAAGCTGCAATAATGTTCAGCAAAGTAAGATCTACAAAAAAGTTAATCTGACCAAAATTTTCAATTGACCCCTTAAGGAGTTATTGCCCTTTGAAGACAATTTTACACAATTTGTTCATCAAGTTTGCTAACATTTAAAAATCTTCTCCTCTGAAATACAGTTGAGCGATTCAGGCTCTTGTGAGCCTCTTGTTATTGGACAGTTTTTATTTGTCATTTGTAAACTCAGTTTATTTATCATATAGGGTTTTTATGTCATTTGTATTATTATAAAAAAGAAGATGTGGTGTGATTGCCACACCACATCTTCTTTTTTATAATAATACAAATGACATAAAAACCTATGTGATTGCCAATGAGACAAATCTTCACAAGAGACCAAATGACACAGAAATTAACAACTATAGGTCACCGTACAGCCTTCAACAATGAGAAAAGCCCATACCGCATAGCCAGCTATAAAAGGCCCCAAAATGACAAATGTAAAACAATTCAAAGGAGAAAACAAACGTCCTAATTTATGTACAAAAAAATGAACGAAAAACAAATATGTAACACAGCAACAAACGACAACCACTGAATTACAGGCTTCTGACTTGGGACAGGCACATATATACAGAATGTGGCGGGGTCAAACATGTGAGAGGGATCCCAACCCTCCCCTAACCTGGGACAGTGGTGTAACAGTACAACATAAGAACGAACTTAAAAATCAGTTGAAAAAGGCTTAACTCATCAGATGGATACAAATAGAAATACATCTAACAAAAACACAGAGTGGGTGAAACCCATTTGTAATAGGACTAGTAATAGTAATTCCAAGCATAACTAAAACTGATGATAGAAATTTATGATTTATAGATATATGAAGAAGTGGTATGAATGCCAATGAGACAACTCTCCATCCAAGTCACAATTTATAAAAGTAAACCATTATAGGTCAAAGTACGGTCTTCAACACGGAGCCTTGGCTCAAACCGCAGAGTAAGCTATAAAGGGCCCCAAAAATTACTAGTGTAAAACCATTCAAAGGGAAAACCAACGGTCTAATCTATATAAAAAACGAGAAACGAGAAACACTTATGACCAACATCAACAAACGACAACTACTGAACATCAGATTCCTGACTTAGGACAGGTGCAAACAATTGCAGCAGGTTTAAACGTTTTAATGGTAGCCTAGATTGTTTTCATATTTATCATATTTATCATGATCATGTTCATCATGTTCATAGACGTTCAACTCAACTCCAAATGGTTATACATTGTATTTGAAAATTTGGTTTTGATCTGCATATGAAGACAGCATCACAATAGTTAATTAATTTTCTTATGTTCAGAATATCACCATGATAATTGGAAATTTTCGTTGTAACAACAATACTTTATTCTCAAAAAACCAATACAATCAAAGGTACAGAGAATGACATGCAAAAACAATACAAAAACAATACATAGTATGATAGAGGTGAGTTAACATTGTTGTAGTATGAGATACAATATAAAAAACAAAAATACAAAAAAAAAACAAAAAGCAAAAAGCAACACATTGTAGTTTGGTCTAGCCAGGAGGACTGATTTTCTCCTTTATTATTTTAATTAGTTTACACAGTCTTTTAAGAAGAGAAATTTTCTTTGTGTTAAAAAGTTATAGAAGACAAAAAGAAATTATAAAACTATGATTTATAGAATACAAACTGTATATATAATTGATACACTATGTTTATATAATGAATAAAACATTAATGGTTAACCATAACTGTATGCGTTTTGTTAAAATATACTTTTTCACTATTTTGGTCTTTTGGAAAATGTTGTTTGTGCTGTATTTAGACCCCTCTACCTAGAATTTTTTTTTTACATGCACATGTATAAAAATTGCGGTTTTTATCCAACGCAATCATAGGTTTGAACATTGTTTTCAATTTAGAGTTTATATTTTTCAGTTAATATACACAGGGATAGCCAGCTTTGCTCCATCGACAGCTCTTCAAGCAGGTATATATATTTAAAGCCTTTTAAGGCATGCTGTAAAAGTATTAATTTCTAAGGACTGCCATTTTTGTGTATTTATGGTATATATAGTGTCAGATGTAAAATTACTTTTTCGAATTTTTTTGAAAAAAAATGTTACTTAACATAAAAATAAGGAGATGAGGTATGATTGCCAATGAGACAACTATCCACCAAAGTTCAAATAAAGTGGATGTTCGCAATTATAGGCAACTGTACATCCTTCAACAATGAGAAAAACCCATACCTTATAGTTGGCTATAAAAGGCCCCAACACGAAAAATATGAAACAATTCAATTGAGAAAACTAACTGCCTAATTTATAACAAAACAATTAACGAAAACCAAATATGACATACATGAACCAATGACCACTGAACCACAGGCTACTGACTTAGGACAGGCACATAAAGAATGTTATGGGGGTGGGGGAGGGGGGGGTTAAACATGTTTGTGAGCACTCACTTGTCTGTCTTAAGGTCAATAAACAAAATGTCCCATGATTTGATTTTCTAGTAATAAATTGTGTTGCTCTTTCAGTAGCTTATTGTTGAGATAACTTATTATTTAACCAATTGTGACTAATGACAAGCATATATGAATAAAAGGGACAACAATTCAATATTTGTTTTCTTTTTTTCAGTGAGTGGTTTCCCACAGTGGGCCTCTTTTATTATTATTGGTTGCATCTGTACATTTTATACATTTATGGTAAGAAAGTTTTTAAATACCTTTAGAATTATTTTGCTTACAGTATGGAATCTTTTTTTAAAGAAACATGAACTATTTCCAAAGTCTGTCAAAAATATCAACATCAGATGATAGTGGCTGTCAAAAGATGAGGTGGAAAAAGGGGGGATAGTGGAATTAAATAATCATAAATGGGAAAAATCACTTTGGAGCCAATTAAAAAAAACTCAAAAACAAAGATTGTGAAGAAAAATACTAAGCATATTTTAAAAAGAGTAATTATGAAATCCTTCAGGTAACAACAATCCTCCAGTTGAAAATTCTAGATATGTATTGAAAATGTGGGCCATAACTGTACAATATTTGCCATGAAAAAACATGAAAATTATTACCCACGTATCAAACTGTAGTAATTATTAATTTGTTCCTTTTACAGGGTGGACTTAAAGCTGTTATATGGGTGGATGTCTTTCAAGCTCTGATAATGGTAGCTGGTATATTAGCCATTGTCATTAGGGTAAGATGTCTTTATATTGTCAGGTTGTTTACTGGTAGGTTATGGGTCAACATTTACCTGTCTAGTTGGTGTGGGTCTGCTATATTTTCAAATAATCCTCATAGGAACAATTGGTGATTTATTTTCATAAGTCTGAATTGGTTAATTGATTGATTGAACTAGGTTTTACAACAAGCCAAAATTCAAACTTCCATTGCTATCATTTCAGTTTCAAATAAATCTGAATCCTGGAGTCAACGTTCAAATCATCTACAGTTTTCTTTTTGAAGAAAAGGCAAACAATTCATCATTAAAATAATTTTAATCCATTATTTCAGAATTAAATAACTAGGAAAAATTTGATTGTCTGTAGAATTATGTCTCAATAGATTGTTCTGGAACTTGTAAACTAGTCACAGAATTTTGTGTCTTTGTCTGCAAGATAAAACAATACTCCAATAAAGCTAAGAAAAAAGAAAATTGAAAATTATTTTATAGTGTAGATTTTTTCGAAATAATAAATTAAATTTGATTAAGATCTTGTTAGATTCTTTTTGTGTTACAATTTTAGGCAACACTAGATGTAGGAGGATTTGACCGTGTGTGGGAGATTAACTCCAAATGGAACAGAATAGATTTCTGGAAGTAAGTAATAAAAAGAGGGCTATCCAAACCATAAGCTGACAAACAATAAAAAGACTAACAAAATCTACATGAAAAAGAATAGAAGATTGAGCAACATAACCTCAGTCATAACTGGGGGTTGTGGATGAACTTGTGCGCTCTGGAAGGGTAGGCAGTTTTTTCTCCACTAGTGGCACCTGTTGTGTTGCACATGTCAAGCTGACATTTAGTGATTAGATGTACAGGGTGATGTCACAGTTCCCTAATGTTTAAACATAATCATATGGCACAGATAAAATGAGCTGCTTCGGATAGAAATCAACCTTATGCAAATGAATATCAATACGTCTGTTAAACTATTTTGGGTTGAAAAAATCTCTATGGTAACTGTTTGAAAATTGAGTTGATATAAGAGCCCTACAAAACAGACCAAAATTTATCTTCTATTTCTATTTGAAAGTTCCAACATCAATTAAAGTCTTGTACATGTAAATGTGTACGTACACTTGCATAAGGTCGATTTCTATCGGACGCAGCTCAAATGTTAGAAGGCATGAACTTATAATAATTGTATAATTATTAAGGATATTAGTCTAATCAAGGTACTCAGTAATAGTATTTTAGCATAAGGGTTAGCATAACATAGTAGCATCTGCAATTAACATTTAAACAACATTGAACACAGTCCCTAATCTTTTATCTTTAAAAAACTGTTTGTGATCAATGATAATTTAGCAATCGATTTGTATAGCTTAAAATGAACTGTAAACTTGTGTGTGTTCAATCTGTGTAATTTTTTTTCATTTCAGTTTTGATCCTGATCCTACAGTTCGTCACACTTTCTGGGCATTAGTAATTGGGGGAATGATCAACTGGACTGGAACCTATGGAGCCAGTCAGTCAAGTATCCAGAGATTTAGTGCCTTATCTTCACTTAATGAAGCAAGAAAGTACGTTTTACAGGGAAAAAAAACATCATTTTTGATGATTCTCAAATTCTGCAGTCCTAAGGAAAAGGTGCATAAAATAGAGAATGGAAATGGGGAATGTGTCAAAGAGACAACAACCCGACCAAAGAGTAAAAAACGTAGCCGAAGGCCACCAATGGGTCTTCAACACAGCGAGAATATCCTGCACCCGGAGGTGGACTTCAGCTGGCCCCTAAACAAAAATGTGTACTAGTTCCGTGAAAATTGACGTCATACTAAACTCCTAAACATATAAATGAACTAAAATTAAAAAACATACAAGACTAACTAAGGCACAAGGCTCCTGACTTGGGACAGACGCAAAAATGTGGCGGGGTTAAACATGTCTGTTTTGATTTGCTAGACAAAACAGCAATAAACAGATTTTGAGGATTATTGTAAATTCAGAAATTTTTACGAGGGTTTTATTAATGTGAATAATGCGACTGGGTGAGTATCGCAATAATAATGATTTAGTGTCATGCATTTCTACGAATTTAAATCAACTAAGTAGAATCTGAACAAAGTATGTTTTTAGATTTGAATGATCAATTTTGGACAATAGTGGTGGGTTATTTAAGGAATAACAGTATTGTATTTAAAGAATCAGTCAATTGGGGATTTGAAGGTTGCAAACACAGTTTTACTGGCGACACAGAGCATTACATGTCACATTTCATTAGAGTTGCAGTTGTATGTCCATTTGATGTGTGCTAAATTATGCTGGTTGTGGGGGGATTTTAGAAGACCTTTTCTTCCTTTGTCCATTTAAACGGAAAAGTTCATAATATATTGTTAAATTATTTCTAAGTTTTGAAAAATACTGTAAATTTTCTTTTTTTCATTTTCAGAGCAGTGATGTTGAATTGTGTAGGAGTATTTATAATGATAACGACATCATGTGTAGCTGGTATTTCTGTCTTTGCTTACTATGCAGAAAAAGGCTGTGACCCTCTTGCCAATAAAGATATTAAAAATTCCAATCAGGTGGGTATTGCAGTATAATTACATTACATGTATGTTTCATGAGGATCCGTTAGTTTGATTGGCTAACAACAATCCTGCGTCATTCAAAAATTAACCTTCATATCAAAATGAAATGTTACATTCGTGATGGCACATGCACCACAGAAAAGTGCACAGGTAATTAAAAGAAAAACTTGATAAAACTTTTTTTCATGGTCTTATTAGCATAAAAATGTAATTATAAAAAATGAATGCTTCTTTTTGTAATTGTGCACACATTTTTAGAATGAAGCGCTTCCACGCTTCATACAAAATGTGCTTCGGGCAACACTTTTATACCCCAATAAAATTGCAAAAAGAAGCATTCATTTCTTAAATAACAATGCTTGTTACTGTGGATTCATTATTTTTTGTGGCATATTAATTTTCATGGATTTCCTTGGGTAATGGTGAACTACAAATTTTAAACATTTAACAAATTAAACATTTACAATAGGTTTGCCTACATAATTTGGAAAAACCACGAAATCAAATATCTACAAAAATATTATTTTTCCTAATCTATGAAAATTGGTACAGCAGTTAATGATTTTTTATGTTTGAGCACATGGTGATTATTGTTTGGAGAATATAACGATTTTATTGTCGAGCCTTCGACTTTAGTCGAAAAAGCGAGACATAGCGATCCTATATTCCGTAGGCGTCTGCGTCGTTGGTGGCGTCCACAAATATTCACTCTGCGGTTAAAGTTTTTGAAATTTTAATAACTTTCTTAAGCTATCCTGGATTTCTATTAAACTTGGACAGAAGCTTGTTTATGATCATAAGATAGTATCCAGAAGTAAATTTTGTAAAAATAAAATTCCATTTTTTCCGTATTTTACTTATAAATGGACTTAGTTTTTCTGCCGGGAAATATTACATTCACTCTGTGGTTGAAGTTTTTAAAATTTTAATAACTTTCTTAAACTATCCTGGGTTTCTACCAAACTTGGACAGAAGCTTGTTTATGATCATAAGATAGTATCCAGAAGTAAATTTTGTAAAAAAATAAATCCATTTTTTCCTTATTTTACTTTTAAATGGACTTAGATTTTCTGCCAGGAAACAACACATTCATTCTGTGGTTAAAGTTTTTAAAATTTTAATAACTTTCTTATACTATTTTGGATATGTACCAAACTTGGACAGAAGCTTGTTTATGATCAAAAGCTAGTATCTAGAAGGAAATTTTGTAAAAAAATAAATCCATTTTTTCCATTTTTTACTTTTAAATGGACTTAGATTTTCTGCCAGGAAACAACACATTCACTCTGTGGTTAAAGTTTTTAAAGTTTTAATAACTTTCTTATACTATTTTGGATTTGTACCAAACTTGGACAGAAGCTTGTTTATGATTAAATGCTAGTGTCTAGAAGGAAATTTTGTTTTCTTCCAGTTAACATTACATTCAGTCTGCAGTTAAAGTTTTTAAACATTTATTAGATTCATAAACTATGCTGGATTTTCACCAAACTTGGACAGAAGCTTCTTACAATCAAAAGATAGTATCAAGAGGAATATTTTTATTGATTTACTTCCTCATTTTTGTTGAGCCTGCGATTAACAGAAAAAGTAGGCGAGACACTGGGTTCCGCGGAACCCTTACGAATTTTTAAAAGGGCTGTTCCATTAAAACATACATAGGACCCTAATTATGGGTGGGTGATAAAGACTATTTGTACATTGAAAACGAAAGACAAATTTATATAACCAAAAATAGGTTAACAGATGTATTGATATTCATTTGCATCAGGTCGATTTCTATCCAACACAGCTCATGTAATAGTTAACAGGTCACATGAACCTTTTTTGTATTAAAAAAGTGAAGTTTGCAAGCTTGCAAAAATGATATCACTCAGCTGATATTATTTTAGCCCTGAAGAGTTTCTAATTTGTTTATGATGACTTAATGATGGCCATGATTAAAAAATAAGTAATTCAAGTAATTGTCACAGCATATACTAGTAATTGTAAACCTTTATATTTGATTTTAGATCATTCCATATTTTGTATCAGAGATGCTAGGATTCCCTGGGATACCTGGTCTATTTATAGCTGGTCTTTTCTGTGGTGCTTTAAGGTGAGTTAAATTGTGGATATTAGATTAATGATATTATCAGACGCCCTCCATAAATTTGCTGTATTATTGTTGGACATATATAAAGAAAAGATCTACATGACAATCACAATGAAAAATTTGGAGACTGGTCTACTACCCCTTAACACTGTCACAAAATTTGTTACAATTACTGAAAGTTCTAACTGATGCCACTGGCCTACAACAATGAGCAAAACTCATACTATATACTTAGTTACTAAAAGCCCTGTCATGTCTGTTATGACAAAATGTAAAACAAAAGAAAAACAAATGGTCTCATTAAGGTGGTACATAACACTACAGGGAGATAACTCTGTAAAAATCAGCTGAACGTTTTAATAACGTTCTATTGTTAAGAAAATATTAAGCTCCTCAATGATCAAAATTAGTGTTTGTCAAACTGCTGTATATACAATGAAATTTGTCCGATAAAGTGTGTGATTCAAGTTTTTTGAAATTTTTATATTTTTGTCAAAGGGTCAAAGTCTATATTTTGTCAAAACTTTATGAAAATTAAACGAGCCAAATTAATTTTAGTCGAGGTGTTTGGTACCACCTTAATACTACAACAATGAACGAAAAAAATGAATGACACACAATAAGCAACTAGTGTCCTTTGTTCAATTAAATTCAATTTTTCACATGTCACACACAAGCTCAAGTTTGCTGTTGTGGGGATTGATGCAAATAAGCTCTAAAATTGCTTTTCAAGAGTTATAGGGCTTTAATCATGTTGATGATAAAAATTTAAGGCATTTTTTATACAGCAAAGAGAAGACTCTTTTGCAAGTGATTCTGCATAGCCTTTTTTACTGACTTCTGTTTGAATTTATTCTACAATATTCCATTTTATAAGGATCGTGAGGTGGGATATACTGATAAAATGGCAATTTCACGATGAATGAAAAATTAGAAAATGGCTATTTCATCAATTTGCATGAAACATAGTGAATGGATCAGCTTCAAGCACGAAAACATATAAAATAAAAATTGTTAACACAAATCATGAAAATAAACCTTCACCACCCTTTTTATGCCCCACCTAGGGGTATTATGTTTTTGGGTCAGGTTTTCGTTCGTCCGTACATACGTTCGTTCGTTCGTCTGTCTGTCCCGCTTCAGGTTAAAGTTTTTGGTCAAGGTAGTTTTTGATGAAGTTGAAGTCTAATCAACTTGAAACTTAGTACACATGTTCCCTATGATATGATCTTTCTAATTTTAATGCCAAATTAGAGTTTTGACCCAAATTTCACGGTCCACTGAATATAGAAAATGATAGTGCGAGTGGGGCATCCGTGTACTATGGACACATTCTTGTTCATTCTTGTAACAATTTCAATATGCAGATGTAGATGATAGTCATTTCTTTCACTCCTGGTGTAGCTATTTATTACAGCAGGTGTATGATTAAATTGTCAGGACAACTGATTTTTTTCTAATTTTTGCAGCACTTTGTCATCCAATCTCAGTTCTATGGTAGCTGTGACATATGAAGATATGATAAAGCCTTTCATCAAACCATCCAAGCCTGAAGCTGTTAAAATTAAAATCACAAAGTTATTAGGTATGTTCAAAAACTTCTTTTTATGGCACTTTTAAAGTGCATTCTATACATTTATACCCGATTTCACTATTAAGATATTGACCTATTACTTTTTATAGGAAGGTTCATAAATTGATTTATTGTCAAATTTGCATTCATTGTTCCTAACTGGCATCCATTATGGTTGCCCTAGTGGAATATTCTGTGATACCCAAATACTATCTTTTCCTTCAAAAAACTTTTTTAGTAGCAATTTTAAGCCAAAAATAATTGGGAAACATTTCAATTATAACACACATTTCAACATTGTATTTCCATATATGCATGATATGGAAAATCTAAATTTGACATCATTTAAACTCAGAGAAAGGCTATTATTTAGCCCTATTGACTCTTTGAAGCCTCTAGTTTTATATTTATGGTAACATAGAAAATTAAAATTATAAAAAGTTTTCCCATTTGCCAACTTAATTATTATGATTTTAAGAAAATATATATATATGTATTAAATATCACTTATTAGCAAATCAGTTTTTGTGCATGTTGGGCAGATTTTTGTCAAAAATGTGATGTTATTTATAAATGACCATTCACAAAAAAATTTTGCTTTGCTATTTAGAGCTATTTTCCTAATACTTGTAGTTTAAAGGTTTGGTTGGCTTGCTTGCTTTGCTTGTGCAATCGATAGATAGGTGGGGCGTCAGCTTGTATACATTATACTTAAATGTTATTGGATGTTAAGTATAATGCAGGGTATAATGTATACAAGCTGAAGCCCCGCCTATCTATTGATTGCAGCTGTCAATCTTAGTTACAATGCCTGGGAAAACATTTATACAAACAAAGCAAGCAAGCCAACCAAACCTTAAACTACAAGCTCTAGGAAAATAGCTCTAAACATAATAACCTTTGACTATTTCTAATAATGTTTTATACTTTTTGTCATTTCAGTTCTGATATATGGAGTTTTAGGAATATTAGTGACTTTTCTGTTCAGAAATTTAAAAGGGACTGTATTACAGGTAAGTGACATTGATTAGTGGTTAGACATTAGACATATTACTACCATCCTTTAAGAGAAGACTAGTCCGACAGATAACAGATCTATCTATCTGTCTGTAGGACTAGACTACTCTGAAAGGAGGGTAGTATACCTTACCTAATAATGACTTCACGGTTCAGCTAGCAAGCAAGCTAGTCAAAGATATTACCTTTACCTACACACTCAATACATTTTGCTGTAAGCAGAAACTTTAATTGAAGATTAATTTTCCTGGTTTCTTTTAGTTATAAGTGGTAATTATATGACCGCAAAAAAAATTTGCGGTCGTATATTGGTATGACGTTGGCGTCGTCGTCGTCCAAAGACACATTGGTTTTCGCACTCTAACTTTAGTTTAAGTGAATGGATCTTTATGAAGTTTTACCATAAGGTTCAATACCACAAAAGGAAGGTTGGGATTGATTGTTGGGGTTATGGTACCAACAGTTAAGGAATTAGGGGCCAAAAAGGGGCCAAAAATAAGCATTTTTGTAACTTCCAGTCATAACTTGTGTGTTAGTTAATGGATCTCTCTGACATTGTACCACAAGGTTCCATATCACAAAGGGAATGCTGGGATTGATTTGTGGGGTAATTGCCTCAAAATTTTAGGAATTAGGGGCCAAAAAAGGGGCAAAAAACAAGCATTTTTCTAGTTTCATGACAATAACTTGTGTGTAAGTGTATGGATCTTTCTGAAATTGTACTACAAGGTTCCAGATCACAAAGGGAAAGCTGGAATTGGGTTTGGGGGTAATTGCCCAAAACGTTTAGGATTAAGGGGCCAAAAATAAGCATTATTCTAGTTTCCAGACACTTACTTGTGTTCAAGTGTATGGATCTCTCTGAAATTGTACTGCAAGGTACCATACCACAAAGGGAAGGCTGGGATTGATTTTGGGGGTAATTGCCTCAAAATGTTAGGAATTAAGGGGCCAAAAAGGGGCAAAAAACAAGCATTTTTCTAGTTTCAGAACAATAACTTGTGTGTAAGTGTATGGATCTTTATGAAATTGTACTACAAGGTTCCATATCACGAAGGGAAAGCTGGGTTTGAGTTTGGGGGTAATTGCCCTTAACGTTTAGGAATTTGGGACCAAAAAGGGGCCAAAAAACAAGCATTTTTATAGTTTCCAGACAATAACTTGTGTTCAAGTGTATGGATCTCTCTGAAATTGTACTGCAAGGTACCATACCACAAAGGAAAGGCTGGGATTGAGTTTGGGGGTGATGAATCGTAAGGGGGTTCAAAAAATTTGGTGGGAGGGATTTTTTTTCCTTTTTATTTCTTTAATATTTTCCATTTTAAATTGGTTATTTCTGATTTATATATAAAAGCAAATAATAATGATATGGTTTGAATAGGTAAATTAAAAATTTATAAGTTCGTAGACCACATTCATTCTGTGTCAGAAACCTATGCTGTGTCAAATATTTAATCACAATCCAAATTCAGTGTGTATCAAGCTTGAATGTTGTGTCCATACTTGCCCCAACTGTTCAGGGTTCGACCTCTGCAGTCGTATCAAGCTTCACCCAGCGGAGCATTTTATTTTTTTATTAAAATAATTGTTTATTAAATTTGAATAGTTAATGTTTATTAAATGTTAAAATATTAAAATATTTCAAGCATATTTTAGATAAGAATGATCCTTGATCATTGTTAATGTGCTAGGACAGGAACAAAATAATAAACTCCTGATAGGTAAGGGCTATTCCATTAAAATGTATGTGGGAGGGTAGGAAAGGACTTTCAAAATATCCCTACAACCAAGAACCAATTTTTAGATAATTTTGCATAATGGTAATAGACGCATACTGAAAAAAGACCCATGACCCACATTCAATAATAAAAATTCCCTTCCTACCCTCCCACATACATTTTAATGGAATAGCCCTTATGAGATAATGCTCGTGTAGCATAACATTCAGATGGCTTCAATCTGTCTTGCTCTGTATGTTAATAAAAATACATCACTTAAGCTTATTGTTGTTGTTTAGCTTGAAGTCAATTTGTTTCCTTTCAGGCTTCCTTAAGCTTTATGGGCGCTGCTGGTGGTGCTCTCAATGGACTTATTATGTTGGGAGCTTTCTTCCCTTGGGCTAACTGGCAGGTAATAATTTTAGCTGAAATTATTTGATGACCTGGCCAAGTGAGTGTGAGCTCTGATCAGCTCTTTCTATCTTTCATTTGCCCATTGATCACTAATTGTTTGATCAAATTCTTCACGTGTAAAACAACTATAAGATAAGTTTAAATGTAAGTCAAAGACAGTTGTAGTTTCACAATTGTATATAGAATGGATTATTTCTCACATTACATGTATATATATCCATTTTAGAGTTTGACTGTGGGGTCATATTGAATAGAAACTATAACCCTTTGCTATAACTGCATAGCCGTAAACTATTTGCCTGCTACAGTACTTCTACCAGTTTGCATTAATTTGTTTATAAATTATGTCCATGGTTGCATAGAACTTTTATTAGAAAATTTGAATGTCTGATAGTATGTAATTAGTTGTTTGCATTTAAAAGTTTACAATCCAAATTGACTTGTTAGCATTAAAACTCAAGTCGGCTACCATGAAATTTTAAAATGGATTCTAACAGTATAGTAGTGTGTAAAACATAAAATAAAAACTGGCATGAATCTTGCTTAGACTTTTATATATTTTTGTCTTTTCTGGGGGCTATTACATTTGTATTATTTGGACCATTAAGGCTTTCACCATCAACATGTGTAGTGATATTATATTCAAAAAGTGAAATACCAGATTCCATTGAATCTTACTTAGACATATAATTTTCATTTTGCAGAGGACTATATTGTGGGAATCATTACAGGTCACAACATCAGCATGTGCAGTGATATTATATTTACAAAAGTAAAATACCAAACTCGATTGAATCTGTCTTAGAAATATAAGTTTTTTTATTTTGCAGGGGGCTATTGTTGGGACCATTACAGCTTATATCGTCAGCATGTGGATAGGTATAGGAAAATATACAGTTGTAGGGGTCAAGGACACCCTACCATCGCCTGTCTATAACTGTAGTATTTATATGTACAATGTTAGTATAGCAAGTTCTACAAACGTTACTATGACAACAATGTCTTCTATAGTTGCTTACAATACTAGTGGTATGTTGACAAACTATAGTATGCTTGTACCAAATTCAGAAAGCACTACCAGCAGTTTAATACAAGACTCACAGTGAGTATTTGTTGATTTGAAAATATGTTTTGCTAAAATTTGTATTATAAAATCAATTTGAAAATTCATTAAAAATGTCTAAAAGGAAATTGATGTAGAAAATTAGATGATTTCCACTTAGACTTTACTGCCATCAAATTATTTATTTTCACATGATTGTATTATAAATTGCTGTTGTCATGATGATTGCATATTCTATCCCCCCCCCAAACAAAAAATGATTTCCTTTATTCCAGTTATATATATCAAACTGGTGCTAGAGACTTGAACTTGCAGTGAGATGGCAGATTTTCCTCCATGTTGAAGGCCTCATTGTTATTTTGAGATGAAGAACAATCATAAAAGATCTTTCCCATTGGTTTTGATTTTTTCATGTTCTTCATAGTAATTTTGTTTAATGAATTCGAATAGATACACTGTATCCTTTCTTTTTTGGAGGTCCAGAAATATGCCTGACACTATGACATGTTGGTCAAATTGTGGTTTCGATCAGACATTTTTCGTCAATGTCAGGTAAAATTTCAATCTTTCCAGAAGACTGTTTTTAGATATAACAAAAATTTATTATGTCATAGTAATTAATTTATATTTGTTGGCAGATCAATTTTGTTGTCCCCCGCGCAACGCATTGCGGCGGACATAGAAATACCGGCGTCCGTCCGTCCGATCTTGTTAGCGCTCTCACGTGTACAGTTCTTGCCAGATTTTTATGAAACTTATATCATAGGTTTATATCAGCTATGTCTTGGACGAGTTCGAAAATCAGTGCTGATTAATTATTTTGAAAAGAGTTATGCTCCTTAGAAACATTAATTATATGGAAATTTGCATCGTTAGCACTCTCATGTGTACAATTCTTGCCAGATTTTTTTGAAACTTATATCATAAGGTTATATTAGCAATGTCTTGGACTAGTTCGAAAATCAGTGCAGATCAATTATTTTTAGAAGAGTTATGCCCCTTAGAAACATTAATTATAAAGAAACTTGCATTGTTAGCGCTCTTATGTGTACAATTCTTGCCAGATTTTTATGAAACTTATATCATAGGTTTATATCAGCAATGTCTTGGACAATATCGAAAATTAGTGCCAATCGATTATTTTTAAAAGAGTTATGTCCCTTGTAAATATTGATTATATGGAAAATTGCAATATTAGCGTTCTCATGTGTACAATTCTTGTCAAAATTTTATGGAACTTATATCATAGGTTTATATTAACAATGTCTTTGACGAGTTCTAAAATCAGTGCTGATCAATTATTTTTATACGACAAAGATATTACCTTTACCTACACACTCAATACATTTTGCTGTAAGCAGAAACTTTAATTGAAGATTAATATTCCTGGTTTCTTTTAGTTATAAGTGGTAATTATATGACTGCAAAAAAATTTTGAGGTCGTATATTGGTATGACGTTGGCGTCGTCATCGTCCGAAGACACATTGGTTTTCGCACTCTAACTTCAGTTTAAGTGAATGGATCTTTATGAAATTTTACCATAAGGTTCAATACCACAAAAGGAAGGTTGGGATTGATTGTTGGGGTTATGGAACCAACAGTTAAGGAATAAGGGGCCAAAAAGGGGCCAAAAATAAGCATTTTTGTAACTTCCAGACATAACTTGTGTGTTAGTTAATGGATCTCTCTGACATTGTACCATAGGGTTCCATATCACAAAGGGAATGCTGGGATTGATTTTGGGGGTAATTGCTTCAAAATTTTGGAAATAAGGGGCCAAAAAAGGGAAAAAAAACAAGCATTTTTCTAGTTTCATGACAATATTTTGTGTGTAAGTGTATAGATCTTTCTGTAATTGTACTACAAGGTTCCATATCACAAAGGGAAAGCTGGAATTGAGTTTGGGGGTAATTGCCAAAAAGGGCCAAAAATAAGCATTTTTCTAGTTTCCAGACAATAACTTGTGTTCAAGTGTATGGATCTATCTGAAATTGTACTGCAAGGTACCACACCACAAAGGGTAGGCTGGGATTGATTTTCGGGGTAATTGCCTCAAAATTTTAGGAATTAGGGGCCAAAATCAAGCATTTTTCTAGATTCAGGACAATAACTTGTGTGTTAGTGTATGGATCTTCATGAAATTGTACTACAAGGTTCCTTACACAAAGGGAATGCTGGGTTTGATTTTGGGGGTAATTGCCTCTAAATTTTAGGAATTAGGGGCCAAAAAAGGGGCAAAAAACAAGCATTTTTCTAGTTTCATGACAATAACTTGTGTGTAAGTGTATGGGTCTTTCTGAAATTGTACTACAAGGTTCCATATCACAAAGGGAAAGCTGGAATTGAGTTTGGGGGTAATTGCCCAAAACGTGAAGGAATAAGGGGCCAAAAAGGGGCCAAAAATAAGCATTTTTCTAGTTTCCAGACAATAACATGTGTTCAAGTGTATGGATCTTTATGAAATTGTACTACAAGGTTCCATATCACAAAGGGAATGCTGGGATTGATTTTAGGGTAATTGCCTCAAAAGTTTAGGAATTAGGGACCAAAAAAGGGGCAAAAAACAAGCATTTTTCTAGTTTCATGACAATAACTTGTGTGTAAGTGTATGGATCTTTCTGAAATTGTACTACAAGGTTCCATATCACAAAGGGAATGCTGGGTTTGATTTTGGGGGTAATGCCCAAAACATTTAGGAATAAGGGGCCAAAAAGGGCCAAAAATAAGCATTTTCTAGTTTCCAGACAATAACTTGTGTTCAAGTGTATGGATCTCTCTGAAATTGTACTACAAGGTACCATACCACAAAGGGAAGGCTGGGATTGATTTTGGGGGTAATTGCCTCAAAATTTTAGGAATTAGGGGCCAAAAAGGGCAAAAAAACAAGCATTTTTCTAGTTTCAGAAAAATAACTTGTGTGTAAGTGTATGGATCGTTATGAAATTGTACTACAAGGTTCCATATCACAAAGGGAAAGCTGGGTTTGAGTTTGGGGGTAATTTCCCAAAAACGTTAAAGAATTTGGGGCAAAAAAGGGGAAAAAAAACAAGCATTTTTCAAGTTTCCAGACAATAACTTGTGTTCAAGTGTACGGATCTCTCAGAAATTGTATTGCAAGGTACCATACCATAAAGGGAAGGCTAGATTGAGTTTGGGGGTGATGAATCATAAGGGGGTTCAAAAAATTTGGGGGGAGGGATTTTTTTTTCCTTTTTTTTTTTTCCTTTTCCATTTTAAATTGGTTATTTCTGATTTATATGTAAAAGCAAATAATAATTATATGGTTTGAATAGGTCAATTAATAATTTATAAGTTCTTAGACCACATTCATTCTGAGTCAGAAACCTATGCTGTGTCAAATATTTAATCACAATCCAAATTCAGTGTGTATCAAGCTTGAATGTTGTGTCCATACTTGCCCCAACTGTTCAGGGTTCGACCTCTGCGGTCGTATCAAGCTGTGCCCAGCGGAGCATTTTATTATAAGAGTTATGCCCCTTGGAAATATTACTTATATGGAAAAGTTCCTTATGGGCGCTCTAATGTGTACAATTCTTGCCAGTTTGTTATGAAATTTATATTAAAGGTTTATATCATCAATGTTTTTGAAGAGTTCGAAAATCAGTGCCGATCTATTATTTTTAAAAGAGTTATGCCCCTTGGAAATATTGATTATATGGAAAATTGTATTGTTAGCACTCTCATGTGTACAATTCATGCCAGATTTTCATGAAATTTATACTTTAGGTTTATATCATCAATGTCTCAAACAAATTTGAAAATCAGTGTTGATCAATTATTTTTAAAAGAGTTATGTCCCTTGGAAATATTGATTATATGGAAAATTGCATTGTTAGTGCTCTCATGTGTACAAATTCTTGCCAGAATTTTATGAAACTTATATCATAGGTTTATATCAGCAATGTCTTTGACACTTTCAAAAATAAGTGCTGATCAAATATTTTTAACGAGTTATGGGAAAAATTAGTTATAACAGAAATCACAATGCATTTGCTCTGAAGCCTTCATTTCTCTAAGATATTTATAAATTGTTGTAAAGAAAGAAAGAATTTTTTTTTTTAGTTATTGCCCTTGTACTTTGGATAGATAAAATATGTGCAACGTGGGGGATATTAGAACTCTATTCTTGTATTTACCTTGCATCAATAAAAAATAAATGGGATGTTTACCATGTTAAAGGATGTATTCTTCTGAGGTTTCAGTCTCTGGAATTATTTCCAAAATATGTGATACAAGTGGAAAATATCAATGAATATAAAAAATATCATAATCAAACTAAACTCTGTGAAAAAATTGTGTACTTACAATAAGTAGTTTTTGAGTAATTAAATTTTCAAATTTTATAACCAATCTGATAAGCGTCTTCAGCCAAAATAGGTGAGGGTACAAGGAAATGATTTTACCAAAGATATGTACATCCCATATCAATTTTTTCTTTTCAAAATTCTTAGATATGTATTTTTTCAATCATTTATAACCAAGAAGTGGAAATAATATGCTTTTTGTTCTAAAAAAAAGAGAAAAATCCCAAACTTACAAAATTGACAGCATTTGACTCGAAAAAAGCAACAACATGTTATAAAACTTTCTAATATTAACACCAACCTATAGTTTTATATGACTGCAAAAAAAATTTGCGGACGTATATTGGTATGACGTTGGCGTCGATGTCGTCGTCGTCCGAAGACACATTGGTTTTCGCACAATAACTTTAGTTTAAGTGAATGGATCTCTATGAGATTTTACCATAAGGTTCAATACCACAAAAGGAAGGTGGGGATTGATTTTGGGGGTTATGGTACCAACAGTTAAAGAATTAGGGGCCAAAAATAAGCATTTTTGTAACTTCCAGACAATAACTTGTGTGTTAGTGTATGGATCTCTCTGACATTGTACCACAAGGTTCCATATCACAAAGGGAATGCTGGGATTGATTTTAGGGGTAATTGCCTCAAAATTTTAGGAATTAGGGGCAAAAAAGGGGTAAAAAACAAGCATTTTTATAGTTTCAGGACAATAACTTGTGTGTAAGTGTATGGATCTTTATGAAATTGTACTACAAGGTTCCATATCACAAAGGGAAAGCTGAATTTGAGTTTAGGGGTACTTGCCCTAAACGTTTAGGAATTTGGGGCCAAAAAACAAGCATTTTTCCAGACAATAACTTGTGTTCAAGTGTACAGATCTCTCTGAAATTGTACTGCAAGGAACCATACCAGAAAGGGAAGGCTGGGATTGGATCTCTCCGAAATTGTACTGCAAGGTACCATACCACAAAGGGAAGGCTGGGATTGAGTTTGGGGGTGATGAATCATAAGGGGGTTCAAAAAATTTGGGGGGGGATTTTTTTTTCTATTTTAAGACTTTTATGATGTATTTAAATTGGTAATTATGGTTGCAAACTCCATTGGAAATTTGAATTGAGATTATGACCATATCTTGAGGGAAAGAATTTTTTTTTGGAAAAGGGGTGGGGAGGTGAAAAATAAAATAAGGTGGGAAGGGGGTTAAAAAGAAGTTGTGGGGGCAATTTTTTTTTTTTATTTCAGATTTCAGAAATTAAAAAGAAAATTTCTTGAAATATTATTTCTTTTTGCAAAAAAAGGGGGGTAAACATTTTTTTTTTTTGGGGGGAGGGATCAATATGCAATAGCATAGTGTATTTCACAAAAGCAAAAAAAAAGGGGGTACATTTTTTTTTTAGGTGGGGGGGGGGGGGTCAATTTCGCAACAGCATAGTGTATTGCACAAAAGCAAAAAATTGAATATGAATTCAAATCATATAACCAATTCTAAGTTCTTTGACTACAGTTATTCGGTGTCAGAAACCTATTATGTGTCAAATATTTAATTACAATCCAAATTCAGACCTGTATCAAGTGCGAATATTGTGTCCATTTTTGCCATAACTGTTCATGGTTGGAACTCTGTGGTTATATCCAGCTGCGCTCAGTTAAATTTATTCAGATTGGTCCACTTCATCTTTAGTGAAAGTATGAAAAAAAGTTTAATTGTGAAATTGTGATTTTTTTCATGATAATAGCCCAAAAATGGGTAAAATTGATGAAAAATGGGGAAATCATAAAAAAAGGGTACTTTCAAACAGCTGTAGCAAAAAAAGAAATGCACCACCATATAATTTTTTCTTCGTCAGTTACTTTCTTACAGTCATATAAACCCAAAAATTAGGTTAAGAAAAAAAGTTTAATTCTAGAAATGTTTGGCTCCTCAGAGGTGTACATCCTTAAGATATTAAGATAAAAAGCAAACAATAAAAAATTAAACAAAATTATCTTTATTCATTAAAACTGTTGATTTCTTTTTTCATTTCAGACCAGGCTTAGAAAGTTTTTATAGCTTGTCCTACCTCTGGTATTCAACATTTGGGATGCTAATTACCTTTGTGGTTGGACTTACAGTCAGCTTTATTACAGGTAAGTTGTTTATTCCTAATTTGGGATGTTAATTACCTTTGTGATTGGACTTCTAGTCAGCTTTATTACAGGTAAGTTGTTTATTCCTCATTTGGGATATTAATTACCTTTGTGGTTGGACTTACAGTCAGCTTTAGTACAGGTAAGTTGTTTATTCCTCATTTGGGATGTTAATTACCTTTGTGATTGGACTTCTAGTCAGCTTTATTACAGGTAAGTTGTTTATTCCTCATTTGGGATGTTAATTACCTTTGTTGTTGGACTTCTAGTCAGTTTTATTACAGGTAAGTTGTTTATTCCTCATTGGGTATGTTAATTACCTTTGTTGTTGGACTTCTAGTCAGCTTTATTACAGGTTAGTTGTTTATTCCTCATTTGGAATGTTAATTACCTTTGTGGTTGAACTTCTAGACAGCTTTATTACAGGTTAGTTGTTTATTCCTCATTTGGGATGTTAATTACCTTTGTGGTTGGACTTCTAGTCAGCTTTATTAAAGATATGTTGTTTTCATCTAGCCACTCTTTTCTGGATAAAACAAATGTCTAGCTACTAAATTCCAGCAGACTTGTCAGCCAGTAGTTAGAAAATTGACCATGAACCTGTCATACATCCAATAAATGGATTTTAATTAGATACCACATTTGATCTAACCCTGCAAGATCCTGTAGTTACACACTTTATTAATATAAATATGTCATAAAAGCAAATGAAATATAGAAAATAAGTTGTTTTACTTCCTAATAAAATTACAGTATTGTAGGTACTGTAAACCCCGACTTCCATTTGTCTCTGGTAGATAGTCTAATTTTCAATCATACCACATCTTCTTATTGTTATATTATGTTCATGAGGATTATTTTTTGCCACCTTCGCTTGTAGAAAAATATTGTATATAGTCTCAAAATGGTAAACTTAGATCTTCTCATACAGTGGATTTACTATTATTCGTGGGATACCAATTTTTATGGATATTGTGGGTTAAGGGGGTACAGAACACCTAAGGGAGTTAACTCTTTTAAATATCAGCTGAACGTTTTAATCATATACTATTAGTTAAGAGAAGTCAAGCTTCTCAATGATCAAAATTAGTGTTTATCAAACTGCAATAATCCAATGAAATTATTCCTATAAAGTGTGTGGTTCAAATTTCTTGAAATTTTCATTATTTTGTCAACTGGTCAAAGTAAATATTTTGTCAAAATTTTATGTAAATTAAACGAGCAAAATTTATTTTAGTCAAAGTGTTGGGTACCCCCTTAAGGTAAACCAGGAATTCAAATGATCAACGAATTACAAATTATCTATGGGTTTGTATGCAGACTTTGTCAAAACCAGGAAATCAAATAACCTTGAAATTACAAGTTTTCCTCAATCCACAAAAATTCAGTACCACGAAAATAAATATATCCACAGTATATGAAAACATGTGGAAAATATTGATATGAATCCCTGCTATATCGGCTAAAAAAGTCTTTAACATGAAAGAAAGTATTTGCAAAAATAAGTTAAGTCTGCACAATTTATCTGTCGGTTAGACACTAATCATGATCTTAATATTCTACTTTCAGGTCCAACCAAACCAGAGGATGTGAACCCTGATCTCATGATACCTATTTTTGATAGACTCTTCTGGTTTTGTTTGCCAAAGAAAGTTCTACATTTCTTACGTTTTGGTGTAGATTACGAACCAGATGTGAGTTGAATAAAAATTGATTTTGTTTCAGTCAATATATTACATATTCTTCAAAATCATTGCCTGATATTTTTTTTCTTTGAATGTGTATCTTATTGCTTAAAAATTCAACTATTTTGGATATTTGTATTTTCACAATTTTAAGTTTAAGCAAATTTCAAAGTGGTTTTAGGTTTTTAACAAAATTGAAAAAATTCCTTTGAATGTCGATAAAGTGAAAAACTACCCTCTTTTTTATGTATATTTTAGAGATGTCATTACCAAAAAAACATGGCAAAACCACACATAAATCAAGTATAATGCATACATGAAATGATCATATATTATAGTTTTCAAACTGAAACCAAGATTTTGGAAATTTTATGCTAAAATTTAAAAAAAAAACAGGAGCAAGAAAAAAAAAAGAAAGAAAAATATAAACAGACCAGAGTTATAAAATGCTTTTGAAGATCAATAAGAAAATGGCTTGTAAGTGATTGGGGAATTGAAAACTTAGATGGTAAGTCAAGTAACCAAATACATTACCCTTTTCCCCTAAGAGTTAGATATAAGATCTAGATGAAATTTCTGTTATTTTCAAGTATTAAACAGAAGAATATCAAATGCTATGTTTTCCATTATTTTTGGCCTATCATTGGACTATCAAATAATATTTTCATTGTTGTTGCCTAAAATTGTTGTTGTTTTCTCTGAACAGCTGGATTTTGAAATTCATCCAGTTCAATATATTTGCAGAATGGAGCGGACAATGACAGTGGTGTCACAGAGACAACATTTAAGAGTTCAAGTGAAGTGGCAAGAGTAGACGGTGAGGATGCCAAACATCAGGAACTTCAACCCTTGTCACATAAACATATTGAATCATAACAACAGCTTTTATCATGATCTCTTCATTTTGAGGGTACTGAGGGGGATATTTATGTATTTATACTGTTATATTTTGAATATGCCTGTCCATTTAATTTCTTTTCAGTGGTTCATTTGCCAACTACCAACTTTATTCCAATTTTAGAATTTTTTGCTAAGGGAAATAACACCTAGGCAAGACAAACTGGATTCCTGCCAATACAAACATTATGGAAAGAGCATGATTTAATGTAGTTCAGCTTTTGAAAATTTTCCTTGCGTAATCAAGTTTTTTGCAATTCTATTATCAACATAAATGTGAGATGCAAGTTTGAAAATGAAAAAGTTATTTTCAGATTCTATACAATTCACCTTTCTCACTCTGCTTGCTCCATTTTGGTAGTGATACAGTTTATCCTATGCCGGTGTTGTTTCCCTTTGCTAAAATTGGTAATGGAGGTGGTATTTGGCAAATGGACCTTATAATGATGTATTTTCCTATTTAAAGTAAACTGCGTAAGTGTAAAATTTGCAACAAAATTGTCTGACCATGAAAATCAAAAGGGCTGTTCCAGAATTATTATAAATTGTATGAGGTTTGGGGTGTCAGAAGGCACATCTATTAAATTTTAAAGGATGATGATTATTTAAGAAAGATAGCCTGAACAATTATAGAAGATATTCAATTAGAATGTAATTCATGGCAGCTAAATAAAAAGAGGCTTTGTGCCCCATCCCCTCCTGCAATACATTTATATCTGGAACACCCCTTAGAAAATGTATACAAAGTCTAAGCTCCAAATTAAAACATATCCAAAGAAGATCTTTCCAAAATTTCTGGAAAAATAGAATCTTATAAGAAATCCCTTGTAGCCTGTTAACGGTATATTTTACATATCTTTAAGGGAAGCAACACATATCATGAATGAAAGGAGTTTGTGTACATGTCAAGGAGACAGAAACCAAAGATTACAAGTTCATGAAAAAAATATAGAACATCTACATCAAAATTAAACTAAAGAAAAGAGGAATGATACATTTTTATATTTTTCAAAGTGTTAATTATATAATCAGTCAGTCACAATTATTTCATAAGATAAAAAGTATTGTAAATATTTTTATTTAGCATATTATTTTAAAAACTCAACAAGATGTTTGCTTATCTTGTTTTTGACTTTTTGTCAGATATTCGGAATCCTCTGATTTTATCTATGAAGTGCCATTAAATTAAATGTTTTGCCTACTCCCTTCTTTTCTTTTCAGAATTTTATTACATAGTTTAAAAATGTTATAAAATTTTTGTTATTTTTCCAAAGTTTTTAAAAGAAAAAAGGAGTCATCGTTAAACATATCAAAAATCTAGAGAGAATAATTTCACGCCAAGTTTTCAGTGGCTCATATCTCAAAAACCAGGACAGAGACCTTTCAGTTTTTCGGCTTTTTTATTCTGTTATTTATAAAAAGGTGTTATTTTGAAACAGAGCAGGGAACATCCTTAAAAAGTTATATCATTCATAACTAAGTATTAAAAGTTTATTTTATTTCATGTTTGAAAAGTTGTTATAGAAATTTGTTTTCATTTTCCTAACATTAATGAGATTTACCATGATATTATTATATGCCATTTTTGTCGAGCCTGCGACTTTTGTCGCAGAAAGCTCGACATAGGGATAGCGATCCGGCGGCGGCGGCGGCTACGGCGGCGGCGGCGTTAGCTAACTTCTTAAAAGCTTTATATTTTAGAAGATGGAAGACCTGGATGCTTCATACTTTGTATATGGATGCCTCATGTTACGAAGTTTCCGTCAGTCACATGTCCAATGTCCTTGACCTCATTTTCATGGTTCAGTGACTACTTGAAAAAAAAGTTCAGATTTTTTGTAATGTTAAATTCTCTCTTATTATAAGTAATAGGATAACTATATTTGGTATGTGCGTACCTTGCAAGGTCCTCATGCCCGTCAGACAGTTTTCACTTGACCTCGACCTCATTTCATGGATCAGTGAACAAGGTTAAGTTTTCGTGGTCAAGTCCATATCTCAGATACTATAAGCAATAGGTCTAGTATATTCGGTGTATGGAAGGACTGTAAGGTGTACATGTCCAACTGGCAGGTGTCATCTGACCTTGACCTCATTTTCATGGTTCAGTGGTTATAGTTAAGTTTTTGTGTTTTGGTCTGTTTTTCTTATACTGTATGCAATAGGTCTACTATATTTGGTGTATGGAATGATTGTAAGGTGTACATGTCTAGCTGGCAGGTGTCATCTGACCTTGACCTCATTTTCATGGTTCAGTGGTCAAAGTTAAGTTTTTGAGTTTTGATCTTTCTTTCTAATACTGCATGCAATAGGTCAGCTATATTTGGTGTATGGAATGATTGTAAGGTGTACATGTCTAGCTGGCAGGTGTCATCTTACCTTGACCTCATTTTCATGGTTCAGTGGTCAAAGTTAAGTTTTTGAGTTTTGGTCTTTTTTTGTCGAGCCTTTGACTTTTGTCGAAAAAGCGAGACATAGCGATCCTACATTCCGTCGGCGTCGTCGTCGTCGTCGTCGTCGGCGGCGTCCACAAATATTCACTCTGTGGTTAAAGTTTTTGAAATTTTAACAACTTTTTTAAACTATCCTGGATTTCTACCAAACTTGGACAGAAGCTTGTTTATGATCATAAGATTATATTCAAAAGTAAATTTTGTAAAAAAAAAAAATCCATTTTTTCCGTATTTTACTTATAAGTGGACTTAGTTTTTCTGCCAGCAAACATTACATTCACTCTGTGGTTAAAGTTTTTGAAATTTTAATAACTTTCTTAAACTATCCTGGATTTCTACCAAACTTGGAAAGAAGCTTGTTTATGATCATAATATAGTATCCAGAAGTAAATTTTGTAAAAAAAAAATTCCATTTTTTCCATATTTTACTTATAAATGGACTTAGTTTTTCTGCCAGTTAACATTACATTCACTCTGTGGTTAAAGTTTTTAAAATTTTAACAACTTTCTTAAACTATCCTGGATTTGTACCACACTTGGACAGAAGCTTGTTTATGATCAAAAGCTAGTATCTAGAAGGAAATTTTGATAAAATTTTGTTCCATTTTTTCCGTATTTTACTAATAAATGGACTTAGTTTTTCTTCCAGTCAACATAACTTACATTCTGCAGTTTAAGTTTTTAAAACATTTATTAGATTCATAAATTATCCTGGATTTTTACCAAACTTGGACAGAAGCTACTTACAATCAAAAGATAGTATAGAGAGGAATATTTTTATAAATTTTTTTCCTCATTTTTGTTGAGCCTGCGATTAACAGCAAAAGTAGGCGAGACACTGGGTTCCGCGGAACCCTTACGAATTTTTCTAATACTATATGCAATAGTTCAACTATATTTGGTGTATGGAAATATTTTATGATCTATATGTCAGTCACGCAGGTTTTATTTGACCTTGACCTCATTTTCAAGGTTCATTGCTCAGTGTTAAGTTTTTGTGTTTTCGTCTGTTTTTCTTAAACTATAAGCAATAGGTCAACTATATTTGTTGTATGGAAGAATTGTTAGCTGTACATGCCTGCCTAGCATGGTTCATCTGACCTTGACCTCATTTTCATGGTTCATTGGTCAATGTTTAGTTTACTTGGTTAATGTTAAGTTTATGTGACAGTTGTAATAAAGCTTTATATTTAGGACTATCAACATAATATCAATGATTAGTAAAGAAGGCGAGACATTTCAGCCTGTGCACTCTTGTTTAATGATTTATACATGTAAACACCTGTTATCAGAATGACCTCATAACTATTACATCTACAATCATGCTTCACAGTTTGTATTTAGATTAGATTATTGATAGTTTTTCAAACGAGAGAGTGTTTCTCGGCTGCAATCTCACCAAGGGCAACAGCTTTGAGATAAGATGGGGCCAAGAAACATCCTCGAGTTTGAAAGACCACTGATAATCTGTTTATCGCTATTTTGCCTATGATGTTGTTGATGTTTACATTTATGATGGCACGTGCGCCCTTACTTTCTGACGATAATTTTCTATCTCATGCGAGCAGTATGAAATGAAAAATTATCACAAAAAAAGATCAAAAGAAAATTACACAAAATAGAGATAAACGATAAGTACAAAATTATTTATTGAAAACTGTAAATGTGTAGATGGGAAGTAAGCATGATAAAATATTGATATTTCAAATTATTTGGGGTTCACATTTGAAGTTCAGACTAATCTTCAGAAATCAAGTATCCACAAAATGCAATTTTTCCTAATCTCACTAAAATTTTCTCCACAAAAATAAATAAATCCACAATATTTCATACACATGCATATCATTAATTACACTGTAAAAGGAAAAGGTGGTCCAAGATTGCCGTTGGAATCCTTATAAAATTCATTGTTCATAATTTTCAAGAATTCTCTATTCTCAATTGACAAAACTGCTGTTTTTTTAAAATATCATCTATCTGTTATGTTTCTATGTCTTAACAGTTATGTCAAATGGTGGATGTTGATAAATTTTTTTGTCTTGCCTTTTATCAATAGAGGGGTATTATGTTTTTTTAGTCTGTGTCCATTTGTCTGTTCCATAGTTGAACTAACTTTATAGTTAATGGTTCCAATTATACTGCATTACAACAATTAATTTTTATTCAGTGATGTTTGAGTGCAAAATGTTCGAAAAGCCAAAGCCTAATACAAACATAAAGAGCTGATGGAATCAAAAAGTAAAGCCAAACCTGGATAATAGACAACTTTCCAATTCCAGTTTTATGAATCAACTGCCCTGGTTGATCAGTGGTCATATGGGGAAAATGCGGAATAGAACATTGTTACGTGAAGATATTTGCTTTGTGACATCAAATTTTTTCTGGGAAAATTCTTTCAATGAAAAATCGTGTATGGATCAGAGCTATTCATGAGGGAGATCCATTCCTTTAATTAAAATGATTTTCCAATGTTTTATAATGGGAAATTTCGATAAAGTTTTGATAAAGATAGTTTACAATGAAGTTTTTTATATATCTTTACTATGATGTCGACTTTTGGAGAAAAAAATCCAAATTAAGGTTTTAACCCAGATTTTTCTGTTCTTTGAACAATGGAATATGATGGTTTAAGGGGAGCAGTTTGTTATTGGGTTTTTGTGTGGTTGGTTTGAACTCAATTTCCATATGTGAGGGTAGGAATGCCCTTTATCTTCAAGCATCAAGCGTCCCTTTTTCGCTATCGTTAGCATCAAATGAGCACGAATTTTTTATCGTCATACATCAAATCTCATTCTGTAGCTACTGTTAGCATCAAATACAGTAAAATATTAATCGTAAACGTTATTTTAACAAGTATTTTACCGTCAATTGTCATATTGGGTACCCCATTCCTACCCTCATATGCATTCCAATTTTCTAATGTTCTGTTTAAAGCCAAATGTTATGCTTACTAATACAACAAAGATTTCTGCTTTAAATGAATATTCTGAGAAGAGGAATAAAGTTTAAAAAGGTTTTGTTAACTTATGTTAGCTTATTGTAAATTGTTATTATGGATGCTCAAGATTAAAATTTTGCTTATATAAATGATGTTAGTTGTTATTTGCCTCAATATATAATAAAAACAAAGATACCAGGCTTATAATTGTGTACGCCAGATGCTTGTTTCATCTACAAAGGACTCACCAATGATGCTCGAATAAAAAGTTTAAAGGCCAATTAAAGGTATGTACATTTTTATATGCCGTTTTCAGGACATATTATGGTACACTGTGTCCTGTCTGTCGGTCTTTCCGTCCGTCTGTGTCATCATGTCGACAATAACTCAAAAACTCTTTAACCAATTTGCATGAAACTTCTGTGAATTGTTTATATCTATTGAAGTAAGCTCCCTTTCGATTTTTATAAATTTTAGATTTTACGTTTCCGAGTTATGGGATTTTATTCATAAAAAAGGGGTGATTTTCCAGTTTTTGGACAATAACTCAAAAATGCTCTGAGAAGTTTTCATGAAACTTTGGTGACTGTTTTATATCTATTAAAATAACCTCCCTTTAGTTTTTTTTTTTTTTATAAATTTCTGACATGACATTGAGGAGTTATGGAACTTCATTTTTTGAAGAAGTGACGAGTGTATCATGCGCTCATGGCTCAGCTCTTTATTATCAAAATACTGAGCAGTTTTCATGAAACTTTGTTTTATATCTACTGAAATAACCTCCCTTTAGTTTTTTTTTATAAATTTCTGATATGACATTGAAGAGTTATGGAACTTTATTCTTTGAAAAAGCGATGGGCGTATCAGTTCTTTATTATCAAAATACTGACATTGTAAGTCCCCTTATGTTAGTTTGCCTCTCTTTTGTTTGAAATCTAGCGAAACATTCCGTTTTTGGAATTTTGAAGTTAAGGTATTGTTGATGTATTAAAGTCATTAAATTTTTTTTTGAAAACATACACATTGTTAGTATGACCACAACTCGAGTATGCATCTGCAGTATTAGAGACATACTAACCAAATAGTACAACGAACTAATTCCCTGGAAACAAGAAAAGACAGTGGCGACTTTTTTCATTGACCTCTAAATGGTGGGTACATTAATACTATATTTTCGTACATTTCATGCAATTTCGGTAAGTGGAAAAATCGAAAATATCTTTTCATACGAAGGCAATTATTTTGAACAGAGTTGCAACGAAGTTCAGGGTTGCTTCTAGATGCAATCTTTAAGCCATAGTTACAACTTTACCAAATTAACTTGCGTTGATAATGCTATTGATGGACTGAAATTAAGGAAAATGTTTGGTTTCCAAATGTTATGTTAACACACTTCGTTCAAAATTGCAACCATGGGGTGGAAGACCTGTGTTGATCAAATTTTACTGTCAAAGGAGTTGACTAAAATTGGGTCAAAATTTTGTTTTCATGGTGAATAGATCTTGTGAAGTAGATAATCCCTACTGGGTTTGATGTTAAAGGTTAAGCTTACATCAGCTACTAATGGACTAACATTTGGACAACGTTTTGTTTTCAGGCTGTTTTCTTTTGAAGCATATTTCCTACCATCACCAAACTGAGCTGGAATATGTCTGATGAGAAAAAAACCCTACTGATATTTGGGTCAACGATGAAGTTCACAGTAACTACAAAAAGACCCGAAATAATACTGAAGAGCTATAATCCAAAAAGGACAGTAAAGTATAGCCAAAGTCGGGCAAGGAATCGGAGCTTTGCATGAAGGAGATATATTCCTTAATTTAAAAAAATTTCTTAAATTTCGTAGCAGCAAATTTAGATAACAAAAAATCCGTATTTTCATGCCAGTACCGAAATACTGGCTACAGGCCTGGTGATACCCTCGGGGACTAACAGTCCACCGACAGAGGCATCGACCAAGTGGTAGTAATAACACAAACGGTACCAATTTTCTGCACCAGTTGCGCATTTCGACAATAAATGTCTCATCATTGTACTCTTAGGCACACAAATCCGTTCCTTTTACGAAATGTACAAATCTCTAAAGATCGCAATTGGGCTAATGTACCCATATCGTGCTCCAGTATTTTTTTTATGCCCCCCGCTTTAGCGCAAAGGGCATTAAGTTTTACCCTGTCCGTCTTTCTGTACGTCCGTACGTACGTCCCAAAATTGGTTTCCGTTCTCTAACTTTAGTTTGCCTCAACTAAATGTTTTGAAACTTATACACAATGCTTATTACCACATAACACAGATCAAGTTTGAATGCTAGTGGCGACACTTTTACCGTTCTACAGTTATGCCCCTTTATAAATGGAAAAAATGCAGAATTTTTCGTTTCCGTTCTCTTACTTTAGTTTGCTCAACCAAACGTTATGAAACTTATGCACAATGCTTATTACCACAAAACACAGATCAAATTAGAATTTCGGTGGTCTCACTTAAACCGTTCTAGAGTTATGCCCCTTTACAAATGGAAAAATTGCTGAATTTTTCGTTTCCGTTTTCTAACTTAAGTTTGCCTCAACCAAACGTTTTGAAACTTATACACAATGCTTATTACCACATAACACAGATCAAGTTTGAATGCTAGTGGCGACACTTTTACCGTTCTACAGTTATGCCCCTTTACAAATGGAAAAAATGCAGAATTTTTCGTTTCCGTTCTCTAACTTTAGTTTGCTCAACCAAACGTTATGAAACTTATGCACAATGCTTTATTACCACAAAACACAGATCAAATTAGAATTTCAGTGGTCTCACTTAAACCGTTCTAGAGTTATGCCCCTTTACAAATGGAAAAATTGCTGAATTTTTCGTTTCCGTTTTCTAACTTAAGTTTGCCTCAACCAAATGTTATGAAACTCATACATAATGCTTATTATTTGTAGATAAGCAAGTACTCAAACTTGTTAATCTGGATATATATGGCCATTTTTGCTATTGCTTGGATCCTCAGCAAAAAGTGAAAAAATGGGAGAATGGGAGCTACCATATCATTGGCATTCACAAATTGTCAATATTTTAGAATTATTGGATTAAGAGTTATCTCCCTTCATCAAATGAAACAATATTGTTTTATCGTTTTTTTGTCAATAATACAGGCCACCTAAATGATAAAAAATATCATTAGTGTTCTCTCTATCTAGACAATACACATCGGCCTCACATATTCAATTTTGTCTGGATTCTGTTGTACATGAACCAATAGGAATACCTTTTCTTGGGTATTTAGATTAATTTTAGTAGATATTTAAGAAAATATGCTCCTACCATATAATTCATATTGGATATTGTGTTCAATCAGCACCACCGAATTACAGGTGCAAACAAATTACAAGCATCCTCCTACCATACATACCAAAATTTACATCTTTTCAAGTAAAAGTGAAATAAATTAGTCAGGCACTTCTTTATGGTCAACAGCTTTAGCTGTAGATTGACACTGAAGCAGTATCTAACGACCATATCCACGCAATCATAATCCAGAGCCTTTATGCTGGTGTATGTATGAGGAAGTACCTTTAATGGATCAGTGATATTTAGTACGTCACGTGTACACTTTACACATCATTCAAATACTTAAAAGTAGTACATTATGCAAAGCCCAAACTTTAGGCTTCAATGACTTGAAATGAAATATACCAGTATAAAAGTAATGTGGCTAAGGAGATTTATTCCATGGAGCATTAATTTTTGGGAATAAATAGTGTTAGTATCTGAATTGAAAAGATTGTAAAGCTTCCAGTAACTATGCTTTATCAACTTTAAAGTCATTATATCAATACTGAAATATATGAATTACACTATATTAGTGGGTGTGTTCAGTGTCAAGTTTTATAATCTGATACTGTGGAATCATTTATTTTCGTGGGTATCAATTTTCGTGGATCGAGGAAAAATGGCATTTTCGTGGATATTTGATTTCGTGGTTTTGTCAATCTCTGCATACAAGGCTTATAGAAAATTTGTAATTCGTTGAATATTTGTATTCGTGGTTCAGCTGTATCCACGAAAACCACAAAAATTGGTATCCAACGAATAATAATGAATCCACAGTAATATATATTTACTTTTACTTGACATGAAAATGAATACTTCACTGAAAAGCAATCAAATTCTTTTTAATTGTGCATCAATATTAGGAAGGCATATGTTTATTTCAACAGGCCAGTCTCTCTTACTCAGTATGCCGTTAAACGATGAACATAATTATCATCTAACGTAATGTTATGGGTCATTTGAAATAAAAAAAAATATTTTAGTGAACTATCAACATAGTTCATGTGCAACACAACTTGTGAACATCGTGATTCATACGCTCGAACAAGTAGATTTGGTAGACTATATCTACAGATATTTAAACAAATGTTCTTATGATATTAAAAAGTGCATACACATTGTAAGTATGACCTCAGCTCGATTATGTATCTGCAGTATTAGAGACACACTTACCAAACTAGTTCCCCGGAACAAGAACTGTTACCAACATCTTACAAAATCTTGGTTGACAGTTCTTGTTGCTCAGTCTTAAGTTTTCTATATTTTTTTGGGTGTCTTGTAGACTTTTGTTTGTATTTTGGTAGAGTTTTGTTGTTTAACGATTGAGTTGTCAGTTTGTCTTTGACTTATGAGTTTGAATATTCCGTTGACACCTTCAGCCTTTCTTTTTAAACATACAGAAATGGACCCAAGCTCATATTTCTGTATAAGATCTTGCATGGAGTAGCATCAGTCACCATTCCAGATTATATCAACAACCAAGCAATATCACAGAGACAGATTTTCCAGATTAAGAACACCAACGAATGCCTTTTAATACGGATTCATCCCTAAAACAATTGTTGACTGCACTGATCTACCTGAAATTATTATCCAAGCCCCAACTACCGACAACTCCAGGCATGTGAGTTGGAGTTCCTCTTGTCACAATTAATACATGTTTTAACCCTGTACAGTTGTTGCTAGCATCACACATTTTTTTGTCTTTACTTGTTACCTTTGTTTATTTCTAACCTGACGTGTGCTGGTTGATACGCGCTTATATTATATCAGGGTTATGGAACTTTTTCCGACTGCAGATTATCCACATTGAAAAAGAAGTAGAAGTAAGCTGTTTTTATATATTTTCCGAATTATACACCCAGAAACGTGCAATATTATGTTCAAAACTACGACTGTTTCATGAAAAAGAAATCCGAAGAAAAAAATTCAACGAGAAAGGGCAACGTAGAATGCATCAAAGATACCAGTTTTGCAACTTTAAAATACGCCAGACGCGCGTTTTGTCTCATCAGGGGCGCTCGAATGTAAACAGATGGAAGGCTTATCAATTACGAAAATGAGCATTATAACAAATAATTTCCAAAAGCTATGCCAAAATAAGACAGAGCCCATCTATGTTTGCGTCTAGGATAGTAAGACTTTCCAAGGTATTGCTATAGTACACCATTGCTTTGCAAGTAGAATATGGTTTTCAACCCAGGACTATAGTTCACTAATATGAACGCAATAAGCTCTTAGATCCATACATTGATTGTAAGATATAATTGCAATAAATAGATATCATAGACGATAATCATAGTAATCATAAAAATATATTTATTCGTATTTATTCGTAAATAACCATTATGACAAACGTAAAATACAAATATATAATAAATAATTCTATCACAGTCTAATTTTTACATAAACAATAAACAGCTGCGCCATGAGCGCATGATACGCCCGTCGTCTAATGTGTGAATTTTTATGCAATAAGCATAAATAGTTTCTGACATACGGCGTGACATGCGAAAACCCCCTTTTTTTTTTACAAAAAACTCAATATCTCTAAAATAAAATTTTGAATTAAAACCAAAAAGTATACAGATCTTTAGATTAATATTACTAAGAAGTGTGTAAAATTTTAAGCAATAATCATAAATCGTTTTTGAGATACGGCGCGACATGTGAAAAACCCCTCCCCCTTTTTTTACAAAATACTCAATAACTCAAAAATAAAATTTTGAATCATCACTAAAAAGTATACAGATCTTAAGGTTAATATAACTAAGAAGTGTGTAAAGTTTTAAGCAATAATCATAAACTGTTTTTGAGATACAGCGCGACATGTGAAAAACCCCTCCCCCTTTTATAACAAAATACTAAATATCTCTTAAATAAAATTTTGAATCATCACCAAAAAGTATACAGATCTTGAGATTAATATAACTAAGAAGTGTGTAAAGTTTTAAGCAATAATCATAAATTGTTTTTGAGATACAGCGCGACATGTGAAAAAAAACACACACCTGTTTTAGTTACTAAGTCCCGTAACTCAAAAAGTTTTATTCTTATTTTCACCAAAAAGTATACAGATCGTTTGACCATCATAAGAAACAACTATGTAAAGTTTCATGAAATTTGGATAAGTCATTCTCAAGTTACGGTGCGACATGTTTACGCCGGACAGACAGTCGGACAGACAGACGGACAGACGGACAGACGGATGGACGCCGAACATTTGTATAACATAATACGTCCCGTCAAAAATTTGACGGGCGTATAAAAATTAATAAAATGCAACATATGAATTGTTTTGGATAATCCTATAATATTACAATTGTTGCACAACTTATTTAATCTATTTATAAAAAAATATATCTAGTTGATAGTACATAGGGGTAAAATGTGTGCTATTACAAGCAAATTTCGTTCCGTAAATGTTTTTAAAAAGTTGTATAATCGTTAAATTTGATGACAAATATTGAATTTCATCAGATCCTAAATAAAGACTTTCACTGAAATGAAAGAATTCAATAAAGTTATAGAAATGCACCAAAACTGATTTTTTTTTCTACAATAGAAATGGTAAAATTTCACGAAGACACGCCTGTGTTTACACTTCCTGCGTTCTTGACTGTAATAGCCAATACACAATTTTAAAATGTATACATGAGTATGTATGAATATTGAAACATCTACTTCTGTGGTCATATGCATATATTTGAAATTATTAATTTTAGTGTAATATGAATTTGTGCAACTGTTGACCACAACGATGTTTCAGATGATATAAAACCAAAACCAAATGATTAACATTCTGAACGAAAAATATGCGCAAAACTATAAATAAATAAATAAATGTTGATAAGAAAACGATATGCATTCTTAATAAAGTGGCACCCGGGATACACATTTGCCAAAACATTCGAGTAACTATTGAGTCAATACGTTTTGTTCTTTGCATTTCCAAGAAAGCCATATCACGGGTTGGAAACCACAGCAAAAACTGACGGTAAAAACACTTTCATCATCAGATAAGTGAAGGCTGAATGCATAGACGGTAATGGCAAAAATAAACATGTTATAAATAATGCTTAATATTTTTTTGGTATCACAGATGATCACTGTTCAGTTGTCGTAATAAACAGTCATGGCAAAACTTGTATTGTTCCTGTAAATAGATTGATGCAATAAACTAGATTAGTTTATAATGGTGAGTATGTCCCAAGGGCTAGTGATAATCAGGCGGTTAATAAGAGATCTATTTATTATGTCAAAACTCATATATATGTATAAATGAAAATTCTTTTCCAGGTTAAAAAAATGTTTCCGTAACAAAATTATTATATTTAAATTTACCTGTGTACGTTATTTTATTAAACGCCATTTTGTCCCAGGTTAGAGTTGTCTTTTTGACATTGTTCCTACATATTTTTTTTTATTAATATTGTATCTATATTGTGTCATAGATTAAATTTATTTGTTCTGTGTATGTTTACTTGTTCTTGTTTATATGTCTTTTTGATCGAGTTAAGGCATTTCAATTGATATTTTATAGTGTCTTTTTATGTCGAAGTGTTTCAGGTTAGGGTGAAGGTACGGCCTGTTAAAATATTTAAAGCCGCTGCATTTGTATGCACCTGTCTTAAGTCATTTCTTCTTATTTATAAATGTATCACAATTTCCTATATTTTGTAATCAATTATTAAATTGAATCACCTGATGCAGACTGTTTTCGATGACTACATTAACATTTGCATCATTAAGAAAAAAGAAGTAGGAGCCTCTAATTATTTAAGACTTATTTATGTTTATTCAATACTCACATAGTTTGGCACTAGCTTAGAACGTCTGGCTCTCATATGATGTAGGGCATGCACTACACTAACATCTCCATCAGACTGAAGTCTGTCCATACATGCTCTAACTAAACAAAATAGTCCTACTTTGCTAGCACCATTCCTGCATTAAAAGTGGAGTTTATTTTATGCGACTTTCGTACAAGTGAGAGGCTATAAAACCATTTTCTACATAAGGAAATGCCTGTACCAAGTCAGGAATATGACAGTTGTTTTCAATTCGTTTGATGTGTTTGAGCTTTTGATTTTGACATTTGATAAGGGACTTTCCGTTTTGAATTTTCCTTGGAGTTCGGTATTTTTGTTATTTTACTTCTTATCAATTTCTTATTATAACGTAATCTTTATCACGACGCCATGAAAACAAACCAAATTTTGATATGTTATTACATAAAAATAAATTCCTAGTACATTTGTTTAATTCTTATTATTAAAAATCATTATTATTATAAAAATTGAGGTTAAAATTTCGTTAGAAAATTCTTAAGGTTATAATTTCGTTAGAAAATTCTGTCCTGGCTTATCATTTTAGACCCGTTTTGATTATATAGTTCTAATTAACAGGAAAATATACTAATATATTGTTAAATAATAGCTACATCAATTCCAGGTTTTTGTACATTATTTGCTTTAATTTTTATTTGGTTTAAGCGTTCCCGATAAAGACACATTAAGCAAAGCGCCTCATGGTATTATATCTTATTTTTTTTACAGCTAATAACCTTGCCTATGGCATAATAAAAGACAGAGATAACTCGTATACACAAGAAAACACAAGGTACTATAACCATATACAGATACCCTTAGTTTTCAGTACTGAAATGAAATAAAAATCATACTTACATACAGTAGACAATAATAGGATGTTTGACCGAGTCCGACTGCCATTCAGTGACAGCATTGATAAAGTCAACAAAAGATTCTACAGACACTGGTGTGACCTTGCCTTCTGACCAACGCTTATAATGGAACTGATTAACTTTATAAGTTCCTTTCTGGTCCTGCAAAACAACATATTAAGATCATAGATGAAAATTGTATAGCTTGCCAAAGTATAACTAACCATACACCGTGGGATACACAGCAGCAACATTTAGTGTACAGAGATTCTCCTCTATCTATTAAAAGGAATTTATGAAGTATATGAATGCATTATAATGCAACGCATTTTAATTTAAGTTCTGGTATTTTATATTCACGATTAATAATGTTTGATGTTGGTTCGTGTAAACCATGTTAAATCTCAATATTACTCAATTACATTGACTTTTTTTGTTGTAAAATAAGTTTCTGTCTAACGCAAGAAAATGCTTTGCAAGAAAATGATTTTATAGTTAAGAGTCTTCTTAAACCAAAATCGATCAGGTAAAATGCGTCAAGCAATAAAAATTTAATAATATACCATTAAAGTGTTACCACGCAAAACACAATAAATTGACACTGCTAGAAGTGAAACAACGTCCCTCCTTGTAACATCAAATGATTATTCGAACAAAAAAACTATCTAATTTAGCAAGTTATGATATGGCAGTGAGACAGTGCATGCAATGTACAAACTTCAAATATTGACATTATGTGAACACGAACGGTCAAACATGTAATTAGGTAAATTGAGAATGCACCTAAAGAACTAAAAAAAAAAGCAGATACAATACGCATCACTTCTATTGAATCTTACAGCTAGCCTTTTATGAAATAATCTATTTTCTGCGAGTGGTTAGCAATAGATACGAATTGTACATATGAGCTTGCTTTATTCTAAATCTTATATTCTTCCTTTTTTCAAAGCTGAAAATAAGTCTTTGTTCTAATTCTACCATTTTGTGTGATACAAAGTATTGAAATTTTTGTTTGTATGAAAGAACCATCAGAAAACAAGTAAAAAAAGGTGAAAACAAAGAAAAGCATATCAAAATTTTGCATAAGAACTACAGATGATGATACGTATGTATCAACGATGTGGGAATACATAAATAAATGGCAACCAATCTTCTAAAAACATGTGTTCAATTCTTTGAAAGATATAAGATTTCACTGATGAAACCACAATGATAATACACAACACCATAGGTTAAGAGATGAAAAGACCAACATCTCTCAACAAGACAAATAACAGATTGAGAAACATAACCTAAAGCAGGTCAAATCATGTGCTTTAAATGGTTTTTCCTTCTCCACTGGTGCCTCCCATCGTGCATCAATTCATAAATAAGTGGCATTCAATGATGATGCATCACAAATTAAAAATGGGCGATTGGGGTATGACTACAACAAAACCTATAATTTGGAATACCTGTAAAACTTATTCATATAAATAATCTATTCGAAAACTGACTATTGAATTAATATAAATATTAAATGTACATTTTCGTAATAGATTTTTTTATATGACAAATGTTTTCATGTATTCCATCATGACTATATGTTTTGTTGCAACTATTTGTGGAAAACTGACGTTTGAAATAAAACATTGTTAATAATTATGTTAGTATTGAATAAAAGCAAACATTCAAGAATATGTCAAATTCGAATATTAAGAAAAAAAACCCAAAAAATACAACAAACATATCTCTTCTTAAAACGAAAAGATTTCATAAGATATAATTCACCAGCTCTGAAATATTTACAATGATTCTAGAATGTTTTGCAAAAAAACTAGGCCAATTACTAAGGCAAATATCACAATGTTCTTAAAAATTATAGTAAATTTTAATAAAGGAGAAAACAGGTTCTGTGAATGAAATGTAAGTATGTGTATTTGGCATAGCTTAAGCGTGCATACAATACGTGTTATAAAGTGATATGGCCACGTGGTCTACTCACAAGAACAGTAAGCATTTCGGATTTACTTTCAGGCTGTAACCATGCAGATATAAGTATAGAGTATAGGAACGACTATATATTTTATCCATCTACCGATAGTACATGTTAAGTCAAACTGTACAGTTCGTAATGGAACAACTCGAATACAAATGTTTGACATGAATTATAACAAACCTTTCTAAAATTGCCCATTTAAGGTTTCAACTCCCTCAGTCAAAGTTGACCTCAGACACATTTGGCTATTTTGTTATGTCTTTTTTTTTGGTCATTTAGCTCTTCAATTGTTTTGGTTCTTATACATCCATGGCTTTCAAATATTTGGCTTTGAGTGTTCCTGATGAATGTAAATCCAGAAAAGCGCTTCGGACGCATGATAACAGATAACCAAACATTTTCAAAAAGTGGTTAATACATTTATCTTATCAACATTGAATCAATTTATTTATCAGAAACAAGACGTTACTATGAAATAAATTAGACATTGAAACTAAATAAGCCAATGCACAATGAAATAAGTGGATGTTAAATACGGGTGCTCCATTTAAAAATTTACATAATCTTTGGAATTTTACAAGGAGTGAAAGACGAAAATACAAAAAAAAAAACTACACATACTTTAGAAATGTGCTTATGCTCTGAATTTTCATGCAAATGTGTGTAATGAAAACACTACTTATTTCAACATGCTTATTAATTCATAACTAAATTGGAGATTGCATTTTATAAATTCTCATAAACATAGCAATACGAGCTGAAACCATGTTATAATGTTATATAAATAACCTGTGTTTAATACACATGAGAGTCATATCAACTATAACAGTCACATGTGCTTATCAAATTAAATGATAGAAAAATGCCACAATTCATCAAAATCCTCACATTAAAAGTGTTAATTAAAATTGACCAAACTTTAAAAGCAAGTGTTAATTTCATACCTCAAGTCCTTGCTTTAATCAAATAACTAATCATTTAACACGTTTAATGAAATGAATTTATCACAACTATAAAAATGATTGAATAAGTGTATATGATTATTAACCATTTCATCAACTATTCATAATCGTAAGAAACAAAACAAATGTAAACTAAATGTTATTAAGGGTAAATAATACTTCCTTTGACATGTGATCAGTTTTGCTCTCGAAACAATATTTTTTTTTTTAAATGCCTTTTGATTATGTAAATAAAACAACTCTGGATAAATATACCATTATATACGTATACGAGGGTCTAGATGGGGTTCATAGAACAAAGAATAATGGACAAAAAGAGCATAAAAATGGGCAAACAATATAAAGAATAGAAAAAAAATAGGACTAATGAATAAAGAATAATGGGGTGCTGAAATATAAAGAATAGAGAACAATGGGCAATTAAATAACAAATAGAGAAAAACAGCATACACAATTATGAATACAAAAATAGAGGACCCCAAACCGGACCCTCATATATCATTATATACATATATAGAAAATATATTTTTGAAACAAATTATTTCATCTTAATATGATACTTACATCAACAGCGAACTTGAAGTTTAAGCTTCTCAATGTATAGTCATTTTGCTCTTTCACTTCAGTGACATTGATTGAAAAAGGCCCCATTTCCATGGTTTGATTTGACTCTGGCCAATAGTGTTCATTTGCCTACACGAAAAGAATAAAGCTAATTGCATATACGTGAATTCAATAAAGCATTGGGACTTGAATGTTTCAATCAACGGTCGTTAATTATTGGGCTATTTTTTCACTTTATGGTCATATTTAACTCGTGACGTGTTTCGGTACTTATACATCCTTGGCTTTTAATTATTTTGCTTTGCTCTTTGCTTACGAAGGTTAATAAAAAAAAGAGCTTAGCACGCATGCGTACGAAGGTAAATCAAGAAAAGAGCTTAGCACGCATGTGTACGAAGGTAAATCAAGAAAAGAGCTCAGCACGCATGCGTACGAAGGTAAATCAAGAAAAGAGCTTAGCACGCATGCGTACGAAGGTAAATCAAGAAAAGAGGTTCGCACGCATCAAATTTAAAAAGTGTTATTTTCATTCTTGTATAACAATAATCTTCAATCAATTAGATGGAATTGGACCATCTTAAGGACTTACATAATCTAGTTGAGAAAATACTCTACGTTCCATAACCTATTAATACATCAATCTTTTCTTGCCTTTGAAGAACTTTTACCTTATTTCAAACAGAGTCAATACTATTTTCCTACATTCATGAGATATATCAAATATACAATGAAGAGTATTAATAACAAGATACTTAATACCTAAATTCGTTTCATTAAAAATGCCTAAAATCTTACAGTGATCCCTGAGGTATCATTGTCTAACATGACAATAGTTCTAACTTCTTCTTGGAAGATCATCCTACAGAAATCAACAATAGTGGCACATTGTGGCATTTCGGTGGCAATAAAGCAATATTTGTTTCTGAAGGACTGAAAAAAAGAAAGAAACATATTTTAGTTAAACTCAGTCAATCCATAATTAATTCTTTTATTCAAAATATAAACTAGATCATGTCGAGGAAGTCACTTCCAAATACGTTCTGTCATTTTGTTTTGTCTTGTACTTTTATGATGGTTTTATTAGTATTTCATGTGTTTTGTTTAATTTTGTTGCTTTCAAACACACAAAGCAATAAAATTTCAATCCTGGTATCTATGATGAGTTATTTACAACCACTGGGTCGATGCCACTGCTGGTGGAGTTTTTATTCCACGAGGGTGTCACCAGCCCAGTAGTCAGTACTTCTGTGTTGACATGAATTATCATTGATATGGTCATAATTATAAATTAACTGTTTACAAGACTGTGAATTTTTAAAATACTAAGGCTTTTCTACCTCAGGAATAGATTATCTTAGCTGTATTTGACAAAACCTTTAGGAATGTTTGGTCCTTAATGCTCTTCAACTTCGTACTTTATTTGACCTTTTTAACATTTTTTATTCGAGCGTCACTGATGAGTCTTTTGTAGACGAAACGCGCGTCTGGCGCCAATATAAAATTTCAATCCTGGTATCTATGATGAGTTTATTTAGCTTCAATGAATAGTTGAAAAAACAATTTCGTGTCATGTATAAAGCTAAATATAAGGTCCTTCCTGTTAACTCCTTGTTTCAGTAACTGTTGAAAAATCTTTCGGGTCAGAAGTTTTTCAAACGCTACAATGATTAGGGTTTTATAAAATTAAAGCATCGTAAAACTAACTACGTCTTCAACTTATTGATGTAATATTTGTATGGTCCTGAATAACCTTAAAAACCGATTGCCTGGATAAGAGAAAAATGCATTTAATTGACACCATAAAGTTATTGTTTGAAATTTCACAAAACCTAGTTCACTTGGACTAACACAAACTAAAAGTGTCATGACACTCTTTCAATGTTTAATATACGGTAAAAGTGGAAATTTTCGCGTTGAAGTTATTTTCGCTTAATTCGCATTGACGTCGATTGCGAAAAAAGATCTCCCTCTCCATGTTTAATTTTTCGAAAGTGATAATATGAAAAAATAAATAATTCGTTGTTGATGCTCGAATTTATCACCCGCTAAAAAAATTATATGCATGGAAATCGTAAAAATAACAAACCCGCGGAAATTTTCACGCTTAAAGTGATAAACAAATCAGACAACTTACCGGCAAGTATATAGCATTTATATAATCTGTACAACCTTTTATCTTTGACCATAGAAACACTCGACATTCATCAGCTGATATAAAAAAAAACGCAATATTTGTTTATGTTAAACTTTCTTATATTAGATCTTTCACATACATTACGACTAGTTATAGGTCAATTCACATTCGTGGGATACCAATTTTCGTAGATAGATGGAATTTAAATTTGACATTATACAAACTTTTAAACAACAAAGCTAGGAACCTTCAAAATAACAATCCTTTCCAACCGTGAAAATTGATAGCAACAAAAACCATGAATCCTTTTTAACACAAATAATAGCTGTGTAAATTCTTCATATAATTGTTGCAGACTTGTAGCAAATGACCAGACCACAAATTGCAATAGACGAGTTTTTCCAATGAGATAGAGGCTATTTAATCATGACAATTTCATGCGTTTTTCTAAATTATTCAATTTTACCCTGTGTTGTTCTTTCAATTGAATTTTTAATCCGTTATCCCGGAGTGATTGGATTTCAGAAAAAAACAATGATGACCTAATACATCCATATGATGATTTTTTTATTTGCAACACTCAAGCTTTGTATGTTCAAATAAATGGATAAGTAAGTGCAGTTAACACTATTTAAAGTAACTAAGTCCGTTTTGCATTTGGTCGTATGTAACTGTTATTAATGCTCACCGACTTATTAATCAATTTGGTTTTCCGACTGCCCGCTGATGTGTTTTGAGTAGAAGAAGCGTGCGTCTGGTGTACTAAATAATAAACTTGTAAACTTCGATAAGTTTTGCCAACTTATATTTGTTGATTAAAATAACATTAACGGGGCAATTTTTTTTCGGCACCAGATGTTCATTTTGACAATAAATGTCTCTTCAAGGTCGCAACGAAAACATAATGACATAAGATGCAATTCCTTATAAAAAATAAAGCAGTATATAAAGTAGATTACTTACATGCTAAAACATTTGTATGTCTGTTTCTATGTTTATTTTCCTCCGCTTTTGCTGCCTCGTGTGAACGTTTTACTCTCTGAGTTTTTACTTCCTGATTTTTACAAAATAAAAATAAAACAATTAAGTTTGATGTCGAAACTTCATTAAAGCGTTTGAATGAATGATCAATGTATACCAGTGAACTCTATACATTATAATACGCAATATTAAGAACTTAAACGGTACTACTCGATCAACCAGCTGAACAACAAGTTAATAAAAAAATATGATAACTGTAGATTATTTTTCATATAAACATATTACAAATTTGAATAAACAATTAATAGCAAAACAATTACTAAACAATATAAAACAAATATTTTTTAAAACAAATTAGTTTGAAGTGAATTTTTGCAATGTATTCGACATGTCCGATATACTCAAAAATGAAAAATAAAATAAAAACATGAGACATATGTTAGTCCTATTTACACTTTTTTCTTGCTTCCTGGAAGAACACAACAGGTTTGAATCGCATGTAAAATGTTTTAATTATCTTTTAATCAAATATGTTACATAACCTGTTAAGTATATGTCCTGAATTTTAACAGTGCTTAACCAAAAATATCTTGGTCCTAACACTAAAATTTAGAATAACATTAGCGCTTCCAATTTTTCTGCACGATATGAGCATTTCGACAATGAATGTCTATTCAGTGATGCTCGAGGCCAAAATATTTGAAAATTCAAAGTTTATTTAAAAAATGAAGAGCTTTTTTGTAAACTAATAGAAGAGATTATCCCTCTACTAAAAAATTCATAATTCAACTACAATGGTCTCAGTGCACTACACGAATAAGAGTGCAATGTTGTTTTAAGGACTATATATACTAACTTCAAATTCATGTTGTAATCTCGACAGTCCAGATCTAGGATCTTTAATTTGCATTTGATTATAGTAATTTTCAAACTCGTCTTCGTCAACAGGAGACTCGGACGTGAGCAATGCTTCTGCCAATGCTTGGTGTAAGAAAATGTACTGCTCCTAAAGTTTAAAAGAAATCATGTGACAAAATTATGTTAAACCACATCAATTATACCATCAAGGTATCATTCGCTCAGTGGTCAGTACTTATGTGGTTTAGATCGCACCTCGGACAAATTATGACGTTATGATTGGTTTAACGTCGTCACGTGGTGATCCGGTATGGATTCGTATGGGGTCAGTAGATTTCATATTGGATTCATGACGTCACGTTTACAACGGTATATTGCTTGGTCTTCCAAGTGCTCCACGAAATCTTTCTAAATTATTAACATCTATTTTATCAGCAATCAAAGCCGGGCTCCAAAGTTATTGTGAAACTGCCTATTCTAGAGGTGGTGTGAATCAGATGTGGATACTAAAAAATTCCAAAGATCTTTTAGAGTACATACAATATAAGACTCTCTCATCTTGCAATAGTATTAAAACATTTGACTTTTCTTCACTTTACACAAGTATTCCCCATTCCAAACTAAAAGACAAATTGAAAGAGTTGGTATTACTTTGTTTCATTAAAAAGAATGGCGAACGTAGATACAAGTATCTTGTCTTGGGGAGGGATAAATCCTACTTTGTAAAGAATCACTCTGATTCAAACAAAAAATTCTCTGAAACTGACATTATCAAGATGCTTGATTTCTTGATTGACAACATATTTGTTACGTTTGGAGGACGTGTTTTTCAACAAACTGTCAGAATTCCAATGGGAACCAATTGTGCCCCTCTTCTTGCCGACTTGTTTCTTTATTATTATGAGGCTGACTTCATACAGGAACTTCTTAGGAAGAAAGATAAGAAGTTAGCAATATCCTTTAACTCTACATTCCGCTATATAGATGATGTTATCTCACTAAATAATACAAAATTTGGTGACTATGTTGAACGAATCTATCCCATCTAACTAGAGATAAAAGATACTACAGATACAGTTAAGTCTGCCTCATATCTTGACTTACATCTAGAAATTGACAATGAGGGTCGGTTGAAAACAAAACTTTACGACAAAAGAGATGATTTCGGCTTCCCAATTGTGAACTTTCCATTTCTATGTAGCAACATTCCAGCAGCGCCTGCATACGGAGTATATATCTCCCAATTGATACGATATTCCCGGGCTTGTGTTTCCTATCATGATTTCCTTGATAGAGGATTTCTGCTCATAAGGAAGCTATTAAACCAAGAGTTCCAAATGGTGAAGTTGAAATCATCCCTTCGTAAATTTTACGGACGCCATCACGAGTTGGTTGACCGTTATGGAATAACCGTTTCACAGATGATATCGGATATGTTCCTTATGTCGTAACTACAATACCCTCCCTTTTCACGAATGTGACTTACCGAATTAGACTATTTACCGGATTTGTAATAACATAAGCAACACGACGGGTGCCACATGTTGAGCAGGATCTGCTTACCCTTCCGGAGCACCTGAGATCACCCCCAGTTTTTGGTGGGGTTCGTGTTGCTTAGTATTTGGTTTTCTATGTTGTGTCATCTGTACTATTATTTGTCTGTTTGTCTTTTTATTTTTGGCCATGACGTTGTCAGTTTGTTTTCGATCTATGAGTTTGACTGTCCCTCTGGTATCTTTCGTCCCTCTTTTACTATTAATGGTGACGTCATCTTTTGATTTTGTTGTATTTCATTGTTTATTTTTCTACAAAAAAGTCCCATGTGCGATAAATTCGTTATACGGTTCACTACAGACCCCCTATGGACTGTAGAGGGTTAGTAAAATCCATACGAGATTACGTGCTTTATAGTAAACTTTTCCCAAACTCTCCTTTGTGATAAATTTACAAATAATTAAGAAACCAGGATTTTAACTCAATCAGGAACAGCTGATTTGAAGATGGTTTATCATTTCCTTTTGTATCCCTGTTGGTCATATAACTACTAATGTATTGAAACAAAACGCTTCGGACGTATACACTTTATATTGAAACAGTTGTTAAAAGATTAAAATTTTAATTTCATTTCCATTTAACAAAAAAACTCGTACTTATAATTCAATTTAACAAAACGTTCCTATAGTAATCATGATGACTAGTTCGTGAAACTCCTTTATCAGTAATTATGGAAAACGTATTCAAAAATTCAAATATAGGTAAAATATTATACGGGTTACTTTCTATGCATTCTCAATTAGTTTTGATGTAACGTTATCGACAATGTCTTTACAACACCCATTGTTGTAAGGGGGTAAAATTATCCAATTTATTTCACATATAAAACTATGAGGTGATTACTTTCTTTGCAACCAATGTTATAACTAGTTATAAACTAAGTCAGCGAATTAATTAATTCAATTAAAAAGGAAGCAATTATAAGTTAAACACAACTTAATCATCAATAAACAATAAGTATGGCAATTTGTCTTATCACTTACAGGTGTTTGCACCATATTTGGTCTGGCAATCCTCATTTTCTCTACACATTTATATACGCTAACTCTCCCCTCACTGTCGGCTTGATCCATCAGGTAATCCATTCCTATAAATGTTCCTGTTCGTCCTACACCAGCACTGAAACAAATTAAAACGAGGTGGAAAGACAGAAATCTACACCACATACGTTTTACGGTCATCATCACAAATTGGTTAACTGATTCAGAATTTCTAATATCGACATGTTTTCTCGGTCTTAGATCTAAAGATACAAGTAAAATCGTCTTATTTGTATTTTTATTGACTGTGTCTTATTCCCGATTGTGCCATTTTGACTGAGTGTGAATTTGATGGCGAGTAATGCATGAATAGTGGATGACGACTACACTGTTGACGCACCAGATCTCACTATAAAATTGAGAATGGAAATGGGAAATGTGTCAAAGAGACAACAACCCGACCATATAGCAGACAACAGCCGAAGGCCACCAATGGGTCTTCAATGCAGCGAGAAACTCCCGCACCCGGAGGCGTCCTTCAGCTGGTCCCTAAACAAATATGTTTTCGAAATTATGGGTTACCCTCAATGTTTGTTTGGTACCTTGACTTGTCTCTGCCAAAACGAGAGTTGATCTTCTTTACTGTCGACTTATTTTCTCCATCGAACATTTCGTACAAAAATTAAGGTTTTAACTTCCTCAGCCATTATATAAATTTGGCTTTTCTTATTTATGTTCATTCGAATTATATTACTGTCGTTTCCATGTACAATGTATTTTACATCCCTTGGTTTTAAATATACGCTTTTGAAAGTTTACCAAGGAAAGCGCTTCGAGCACACCATATTAGTTAAGTGTTGATCTTGTTTACAAAAGTAATTTATAATTTGAACCATTGGCACCATTGACACGGGAAATCCTGCTATTGAAGATATTCAACACTACAACATTAGTGTACAAAGGTTGATTACTGTTATCAGTATGTTACTATTTGCCTCAAATATAGTAGAAACCTAGACTTATGAATAGCATGATTGGTGCAACAACTGGAGTAAGATCTGTAGAACGTTTTTTGGTCGTTTCGTTGATTTTCTGTTTGACAATAGTATTGTCTGTGTTTCTTAAACCGATGGTTTTCGTTTTCCTCTTAGAACATTAGTCTTTCTTTTTTTAATATGCACTGTGAGGAATCAAACATGCAAAATAAAATGTTTCAACTTTCTCTTACCTGCAGTGAATCAATAATGGTCCTTCATGACGCAGGCTGTTGACCTTACTATGAAACTCTACAAGGGTTGTGACATATTTTGGTACATCTCGATCAGGCCAAGAAGCAAACTGTAAATGTTTGACCTGCAGTCTCGCATTATCCTACAACACATACAAATAGAAGCTATATAGATCTATCGTCTAACTTAACATTAATAATATCGTCTAAATATCTAGTTTTATAAATAATTTCCACTGAAGGAGAAGAATTCCACCAATGCATATCAAGTATTTGTTATCAATGTTATTCGTTAAAAAAAAAACCCAAAATAATGACAAAATCAATAAAGATTGTTAAACTGATTAATCTTGTCAAACTCTATAATAAGTGATATTCTTTTTATTCGAGCGTCACTGATGAGTCTTTTGTGAACGAAACGTGCGTATGGTCTACAAAATTATAAGCCTGGTATCTTTGATAAGTTTTTTTTATACGCAACCTCAGTATAAGCATTTATTTAATCATTACTACATTTCAGACAAATATAGATAAACAAACGGGCAACGATTCATATCCAAAACCAATTTTTCAGCGTGAGAAATCTATAAATTTTCCATCATATGAAACAACAAGAGTTTAAATTGTTATAAATATACTCTTGAATACTTATATTATCAAACGGTTCTTTAAAAAAAGAATAATCAAAACTGATTGCAATATTTACTTTCAATTGAAAAACATAGATATAATCTATTAGTTGAGAATTCCTTAAAAGTTACGTAGTAAGTCATCAGAAAATTATAGTAATAATAATTTGTAGAGCTAAGGAAACATCTAATAACAATAGCACTAGCAAAATAAAAAAAAAATCCATTTTGGTTTTTATTAAATGGCACATTTTCTAATAAAAATCTCCATTACCTTTTTAATCGTAAATATTGAAAACTCCACAAATAATCAAGGACTATAGGAAAACTGATCAAATAACTGGCTCCATAGTTTTAATAATCAAATACACTTATCTTTTAGGTGTTTCCACAACTTTTTTTAATACTAAATCTGGCTATAGAGATATGTTTCACTACTCTAAAGATAGTTAAACTCCGCTAATATAATCTCTAAACTAAGATACCAAAGCAGTTAATGTTATTACATGTACTATCATGGGATTATATATGTAGGCATGCTTGTTTACTTCGTATATTCGAATTTAAGTAGGTTTGTAACTTGTGGAGGAATTGAAGTAGTTTAAGTATTAATTCTTAATATTGCAGAAACTATTGCTAAATAGTATGATGCTTTTAAACCAAAAAAAAACAAAAAACAAAAAACAAAAAAACAAAAAATTGAAACAACTTATCTAATTTCGGGTGAATAAAGCTTAACATATGGTATGAACACTTGTCTAAAGTCCGTATGTTAACAACAAGATGTATCTCTTTATCTCATGGACATATCCGCAACAACTCTTTCTATCCTAATTTTCATGATTGCATTTACACTGTTTTTTTTTATAACTGAAGCAAAGACGTTAATTAGCAACAAAGCATCAGATAGCATTTCATTTATTCAAAAAGACCTAGATATATTTCTATTTCTATTTAATTTCTAATTTTGCTTTACTACTGTGTCCTTTGTGATGCGCTATATCAATACAATCTTCCTACACGACAAGGCACCTTTTAAAAAAAAAATATTATTGCGTAAAACCCGAGGATTTGTCCCAACTTCAACTCCAATATCTAAATAGATAAGCACAATCTAATTATCTGATTGGTCAATCTTCAGCTGTGATGTAAGCATGAAATTATGTATATCTTCAATAGAATTTTACAATTGTCATGTATATTAATGGGAAGTACAAATGTCTGCTATCATTTCCCTCTGAAATATCAGTTTATAGTAGTAACATGCAAGGGTAAATGTGATTGTGTTTATTGTCCAGTAATTATTTGTTCATGCATATTTATGGCGTCACATGCAATGTTATTCGAAACATATAAATTCAATGTAACATGGAGATACTAAATAATACACATATATAACCAAATTATGTTCGAAGCGTATGTGAAAGGTGATGTGAGGGAATATACGGGAAAGAAATGATGTTTATATTAATATCATCAGCCCAAGATGTTAATAATACAATGAAATATTCAAAGTCAAAGTGTTTTGTTTTCATTCGCCTTTGAATAATACAAACTTATAAGACACAACAGATGATATATTGAAAAATTAAAACTTTATATGTTTTGCACAGTGTCTTGGCATTTTGTTTTACGCTATTGGATACTAGAAACAATAATACATTACTGTCAGCTTAACCAACTGCTTCTGAATACTAGCAGTTTGGATAAAGTGATGCTTGGTACAAAAAATTGTGTACAAATAATTGCTCTAATAATAGTGTTTAAAATAATTTTGAACGCATTTACAAATAAGTATAAGCATTCCACTACTCTAAACTTGAAACAAGGATTAAAGTCGTTCATCCATTAGAAGTGTCCATTAGATGTATACTTTTGAACAACTTATTTTTCGATTTTCCTTTTTTCTTTTAATTTCTACACTTTAAACTAACATAAAGCTACTATTCGTGTATACATTGTAGCAAAAAAAGTCTCAAAAAGTAATAAATGTTAAGTATTTTCAAAACGCATCTTAAAAAAGCAAAAATTCAGCAAGGTGAAAAATATTGCGCGATGAATATGACAGACAGTATTTGAGAAAGATAATGTTAGTTATTATGCGTGAGATGTTCTTACAACATGCACATGGCTATCTTTCCATCTGAGAGATTTCTAAAAAAAAAATAACAAAAAAAAAATAACAATCCTAAAAATTGCCAGACCATTATTTGTTGTTTTCGTGGTTATAAAGCTATGGTATAGGCGGCAAGTACGAACAAATAAGTATGGAATGTCGAATATATATCTACATTTACTTAACAGCAATATAAATATGTCGAAAGGACTTCAATTATGAATAAGTGTCCATACCATATAAAAGGCTCAAAATTTTTCTGAGTCCAGAATCAAAAAAATGTTTAGCTCATAGCATTAAAGAGCTGCAAAACATCTACGTACTGTTGAATGGACAGAAAAAGACAAAATAATTTGAAAACTTCAATCCAAAAAAAAAAAACCAAGAAATAGCGAGGACCTCCAATGAAATTTATGGCTTGGAAAGTTAGAGTTAGTTTGATATATTTTGTGTTAAATGTCGCTTTACAGACATTATCTAGATAAACTTTGACGTTTATTACAAAGTTATATATAATCGGCACCGTTTGAGTAAAAAAAGTAGGGAAAAATGCAATAAAAAAACATAACGTAAAGGGCAATCTAACGGTAGTACAAACGGTCAAAAAACATCTGTAACAAATGAAAGCTACATACAACTTTACACAACAAAAAAGTGAAATTTTTTTTATGGGGATTGGGAAAAGTTGTTGTAGGCTGAAAGTTCGACAATCCGCCATTGACATGTGCCTAGGTAAATGTTTTTGATGATAAATTTCGATCAAGCTTTATATACATATATTAGTCATCTGCAAAATGTATAATACCATCCCTTGTCTACTGTTAAAAAAGCTTTTCATTTAACCACAAATTCTACATGTTTTATATGATCTTAAGCAACGGTAGTAAGCTTTTTGCTCATTCCATTTTAAATTTTCAATTTCATAAAAATAAAAATGCTCTACTATTTTTTTTTCATAAATTTCATCATTAGATATTGAATCTGTTTTATTCCTTTTGAGATCAAACGCAGTACGATTTTGAAATATTTTTGTTCTTACGAACATTTAAAAACTTAAATCTGAAAATAACCTTTTAAATCTATGGAAAAATGCGCATTTTATTTTCTATCAATATTTCTTCTCAAGTGTGATTAAATAGAGATAGAGGAGAAGGTCTCTGACAGTACACCAGCATTACCTTCAAACAATGGGACGAGACTTATTTGCTAATAATTTATATTGATGAAAATTATTCTTAGAAAGTTTTTCAGTATTGTTATATGGAAATGATTATCAAATTATATGCTCCTGAAATGAAATTTAAAATGGAAAGCGTTCTTTTTAAGCGAACATTGAGCGATTATTGTAAACCAAATCCAACACGTACCATAAACTAGTCAACAATTTGTGTGTTATATTTTGATTCATCTTTTTGGTCAATGAGTTGTAGAAAGATTAACTATTATCCTCGTCACAATTAACAATGGTTGTATACACGTTTTCAAATTAACAACCAATTAGGTTGATCATATGAAATTCAAACAGCATAATCATAATTGAAATCAATTTACAATACTGGAAGTTGCAAGTTAAATAAATAAACTGACGATATACAAGACATTTGCTAATGAAAATCAACGGTACGAATAATAAAATATTCGCATATACATAAATGACCATAACATGATTATTACTGTAATCCAACTAGTTTTCGCAAGCGATTTAATTTCGCAACTTTCCCAGTAGAGAAAAAATATCTCGAATTAAAAATGTCGCAAATAAGTGAAAACGTGAAATAAAGTATGTGCGAAAATATACCTGTTAACAGTAATGTAAACCAAAGCATTAATGGCATTTGGAGCTGATTTATAAAGTATAATTATTCATTTTCTAGTATTAAATATTTCTTAGAACAAACAACAAACACACAAATTCTTCACGAGTTTATATGGAAACAAAATATGTATACTTCAGTTGTCGTTTGGTCTTTGTTGGCGTTGGTATTTTCTGAGTCAGTCTGTATGAAAGCAAATCACTAAGTTCTATTACTTACTGCATAAGTGGTATCACATGCATTTATAGCCACATGCCTTTTGTAAGCGCTTCCTTGACCGTTTTTGTTTTCAAATATATTACAAATATTTCAATAAACATATACAATATACTTATAATTATGACTTTTTGGGAGAAACCAATTTGTCATAAAAACAATGGAAGATATTCTGATGACAGTTCTTTCTACAACATTTTAACTGTAGTCTCGCTATATTTGTGTTTAGTTTTCATGTAAAATTTAATTCTATTAGAAAAGGGCATGTTATTATATTGAGTATAGTTTTCCTGTTCAGTTTAATTCAATTAGACAAGGGCAAGTTATTATATAAATTATACTTGATACAACATTAACATATATAATTTTAGCTTATAAGATACATAGTGTCATATAGCCTAGGATTAACTATACTAGCTGTATCTATACTTAGGTAGGGTAAGATTGGTTGCGTTATACGCATTGGTGTGCGCATTGAAAAACTCACATGAAGAATACTCTAGAATGAATGCAAAATAACAACAAATATGTTTTAAGATATACTTATATTTCTTATGTTTGGTTAAGTTAAATGACCCTTTTCTTCGAAATTTTTTATCACTTTCAGATATATATGAAAAGTACATGCTATAAAAGTTTTCCCAAAAAAAGTATATTATTCAACCAAAGGTTGTCATTAAACAAATAATGTGAGGTGTAAATTACATACATACGCACAATATTTTCCCAGAATGTGAGTGGATGTAATGTTATAACAAAAGTAAATTTTATAATCATATGACCTTCAAACATGTCAGCAAATATTTATATACATGTAGCATAAAAAAGAGAAACGAATTACCTTTCGAATCTCAATTGTTGTCATATTATCAGATGATTAAAGTTAACATACCTTCGTGACTATTAGGTTGGTGAGTATAAAGTCAGCAAACGTTTCCTGGTAGTCAAATTTGACATATATGTTACCAAATCTCTCGGTCTTGTTCTCATCAGGCCAATACTTCTTACACTTTATTTGCTGCAAATAATGTAATGTTTAATTTAAAGTCAGTTTTATCGAAAATCGTGAGGAAATTTAATTGTTCTTGGATTAATAGCATACTTCTATTTAATATTTAATTGTTCTTGGATTAATATCATACTTCTATTTAATATTTAATTGTTCTTGGATTAATATCATCCTTTTAAAACAACCATGTTATGATATGAGCAGTGTTGCGATTATGGTGTTGGTATTATTTTCTAATGTATTTTTTTTCTGACCTTATACATTTTAAAATCTTACACAGTCGCATTTTTCATTTGAGTAAAATAAAAACTAACAGAAAATTAATCAGCGTCAGTCAGCTAATTGTTCATTTATGATCTAAATTACATTTTCTTAAATACAAAATATATACCGACCCTTCGACGAAGGTGGTGAATTTTCTTTTGTTGTTTGCTATATTTTATATTATATCCATTGAAGAACGGACTAGGTTTGACGTAGAAAAATATGCTGTATTACAATATCATGGTTTGTCACTATATCATATAAAGTGATTAAAGTGTGACAATCCTTTCCATCTCTTTATAAAGTATGGTTAACATTGACTATCCTATAGTGTTTAAGAGTTCATAAGTAATAAAACACTACTATTAAAGCCACACTATCCGCTAAAATTCTGACACATCTCCGAGGAAATATAGTGGGGAAGAACTATAGTGTTAAACTTACTTTGACATATAAAGTTGTAAAAATAACATTCAAATAAAAAAATACCCCTTTCTAATCCTCCCCCTAGTGGTTTGATTGAATAACTAGGTGTATGTCCAGAAACCATTATCAAACACAGAGAAATGTTCAATTTGAAAAGAAACAAAACATCACTTAACTTAACAAATCCTATTATTAGCTATCGCTACAGCTTATGCAACAAATAACACAAACAAAAAAAAATAAAAATATGCTATGCAATTGCTTTGAATGACAACCATTAACACATATGCAATAATTGTATCTGATGTAAAGATAAGTCGTAAAAGAATCTGATAAATATTGCCATTAACCTCCTGTAATAAAACTTATCATAGACATCAGGATTAAAAATTTGTACACCAGGCGCGCGTTTCGTCTACAAGGACTCATCAGTGACGCTCAAAAATGATGAAAAAAAGTCAGAATAAAGAAGGAAATTTAACTTGTATTTTTCCAAAGTCTAACGGGGTTCAAATAATATGATAATATATTGAAATGATGTTCATTTGGGAAAATATGAAACGCATTACCAAAAACTGTATTCTTTTGCAATTTATTCATGCTGTTAATTACTACTAATTTAGTTAACTGTAAACTATTAGATTTGCTGGTAAAGCTATCAAGGGAGTTTTAAGCCATGATCAACTTGCTGGAGCTCACTAGAAATGGATTTTTTTTTTACCTCCATCTGGCCCTCCTCTTGAACATCATCCTGTATATACATGTAGTAGTATGTAATTAACATAACAAGGACTAATCATATCAATGATAAAAGATCATCAATTTGACTTTCTCAATGTTTCTGTCATGATTTGTTTAACCGGAATTGAAACAGAAGAACCTTTAATGCTTTGAAGCAGCACTGTGACAAGAGTTTCAAAACTGCACAATTTAACATAAAAAAAAACCAAACAAACAAAACATGCCTCAACATGATTAAGATATATTCAACTTGATTTTTTTATGAAAGTGCAGTAATTAATAGTTGTTGCTTTTAACTTTCATTTCTAATGTAACAGTATTTTTTTTAATTCATATAGCAATGCGTTATGTAGTGTGTAATGACAATAAAAACTTAAAAGATGAAAATAGTCATACTATACTACATTTTATCAATATTTCCACACATTAAATAGTTCTAATATCATTTTTTTTAAATATTAACAAAAAAGTCCCAATTTGGAAGAAATTTGATGTTATACGTACCCCAAGTTCTATGAGATTTGTTAACATGACAATATTTTGGATCCTCAGCTGCCAAACCATCCTCCAAAAGTCATCTACCATTTCATCTGTCGGACCTGTTAATAATAATGTGTTTTATACTTATATTGAGGGTATTATCAGCAAAGTAGTCAGTGCTTCGATACTGACATGATTTATAAGATGTATTTCTAAAATTTGATAAATTAAGAAAGTATTTAAAAACTAGGGCTCCAACCCCTCGATACAGTTTATCTTAGATGAATTTGACCATTCTGAGTTCCCATTTTGACATATGAGTCTGAACGTGTTTACGTCATTTTACATTTTCTGGCTTACAAATGTTAAGGTTTCGACGTTCAAATGAAAGTGAATCCAGAAAAGCGCTTTGTACGCAAGAAATTTATGTTTTCATTTTATTCTTTTATTTCAACTCATTCATACATTTCAATAGTTAAGGCAATTCAATAACTATACTTATAATAGTCAGGAGCCTCTTGTTCAGTGGTTGTCGTTTGTTGGTGTGTTTGATAGGTGTTCCTCGTTTTTTATATAGATTATACCGTTGGTTTTTCTGTTTGAATTGTTTTACACTAGTCATTTTGGGGCCCTTTATAGCTTGCTGTTCGGTTGTAGCCAAGGCTCCGTGTTGATGACCGTACTTTGACCTATATATGGTTTACTTTTATAAATTTTGACTTGGATCGAGAGTTGTCTTATTAGCACTCATACCACATCTTCTTATATCTATATAAGTATATAATTGGTTCAAATGTTGATATATTATATTGGTTTTGTTTAGAAATTGGGTTCGGACTTTTGCAATTACTTTGCAGTCTAGTGCATTTTTGGTTTCGCTTATGACAATGTATGAGAAAATCTAAGTACATGTTTATCTAGTTATATGTTTAAAACACTTTAGGTAATACGATGTGGAAATTATATGTCCAAACTATCTAAAAAAAGATCCTGATTTCACTACAAAACAACATCTTAACATACCTTGGCATGCAATGTAAGCTCGTGGATCTTGATACCCCTGCAAATAATATATGAATATGTAATCAATTTATGTATATACAGTTATCTTAAAACAGGGGTTTAACTAGGAACATACAAAGAGGTAAATTAAAAACAAATAATAGGCAGTTTTGGAATTTCATTTAGAAACGTGATAACTTTCTTGTCCAATACTTACATCAACTTAAAAACAGGGGTTTAACTAGGATCCTACAAAGAGGTAAATTAAAATGATAGGTAGTTCTGGAATTTCATCTAGAAACGTGATAAAAGTTAATATGCAAAAAAATATATCTGCTGTATGAAATATACTTACTAAACTACTGACCACATTGCGTTTACCGTTTGAATTGTTTCAATTAAAAACAATAGAAAAGTACAGAAATACATGCCAGAAATAGGATGTCCCTGCGATATACTGCGTGGCAGTTTTAAGTTAATTCAAGCTTGTTCTGCCTTCTGCTTAATATAACTGTAACTGCATCCAAATATTCCAACTCGGATATAATCAAAACTAAGAATATTTTTGTAAAAATTTTCGTATGTTAAACTTATGGCATTTCCCCATGACTGTCACGCGCAATACTTACATCAAAATATGACGCGTTGATATAATCAGAGTTATCAACCGTTGCATAACTACTTCCATCTTCGGAATCAATAACTTCCGGTTGTAAAACTACCCTGGAATGGTCATCTGAAAATAACAAAGTATCAAATTGTTAATTTGTGAAGTAAGTCAATAAAAAACAACATTTTCGGTACGTTGATTAAATCAGAAATTAAGGTTTTATCTCTCTCAGACAAAGGTGACTTTAGATGAATTATGTTATTCTTTTTAAGTCCCTTTTGGTGATAAAGATCCTAACATTTACAAATTAATACATCCTTGGCTTTCAAATCTTTGAGCGATCCTAATGAACGTTAATCCAGAAAAGCACTTAGGACTCACGGAATTTATTGAATGTTTTGTCCTTTTTATATCTATAAAAATGATTTTACATTGCTGAAATCAAATTGTAAAACATCTAAATACATGAATTGTATAACTTAAAATTACTGCACAGCTGTATGGTGAATTTGAATTGTGGTTGAAAATTAGTGACTTATTAGGTTTCCTTTAAGATAATTCCCCATAAATTATGCTCCTTGAATTGCTGCAGCGTGAAAGTCAAATTATTTGAGTAGAAGTATCAGTCATACTCACCAGTGTAAGTACAGTAGTGTTTTTACGTTATATTTCATAAATGTATTTTCTGAATTACCCTTATTATTAAGATGACTTACAGGCATAAATATTTTTGTAACGGTTCTTTCGTTTGTTGCCAGGTCTCAAAGCTACATCATGTGGATGTTTAAGTCCATGTGGTAAACCCTGAAACATACAACGCAAGTACATAATTTTGTGTGCAAGTACATTTTTGTTATCTACTCATTTGATATTGTTCTTTTCCTCGTAGAAAGTGTCTATTATTATTTGGGTCAACAACCGTTATTCAACAATAGTTTCACTAATGCCACTTTTGACAAGTCATTGGAATAGCACCGTGGCAATGCGACGAAGACTTAGGTAGAAACTCCATTTTTGTTTTACCGTAGACGATTTTGGCCGGTCTATTTATGCCCTTTTGGTTTGATAATTCTGTATTTTAAACAAACTGTTCTCATTCGTGCACACAAAAAGCAGTATTATGTTTTTTTTACCACCAATAAATCTCTAACACTACTGACAGCCTATCACTCGTATTGTACCGCAATGACTCGAATTACATTGCATTCCCAGTTAATTAATTATTTTGATTGTGCTCACAGAAACTAAGACTGTAACTCGCTCTGGTTACTTTGACAGAACCATTTTTGTTCTGTTCAGAAAAGGCCATTAAAGTTTCGCTACCCTCAGACATTTTATATTTTTACATGCTAAACTTTTGGCAAAGATTACCTGTAAAACGTAATCCAGAAACACCTATTATATGCAATGAAATCAGAATCATAAATATATCTATATTTCCTTAGTGCATTTGTTATCAATATTTGTTTATAATATACAAAGTAGATCTTCCATTCTGAGTACATTTCGCTCTATAACTGTATCACATGCTGCTAAAGTTATTTTTTTAAAATCTCAATCGTTGTTCTGTTAGCTTTGTTTTTCATTTGTCGTTTTCGTAGTCTATTTATTTTTATCATGTTTTATTAAACTACAATTTATTATGTTTTCTGTAGTTTTTACTTATAAAGGTGACATATTTATAAATTACATTTCTTTTGTACAGTTGTCAATTAAAAATAACAAATCCTAATATAATTTCTGTTTGTGATATAACTACTTAGCTTAATGTTGTTCCGGTAGTTTTACTGCTATATTTGTCCATTATAATCGTATAATTGATTTCAATGTTACGACGGGAATTATAACTAAAATGACACAGAAAAATACTTAGAAGTTGTAAACTTCAATGTCATTTGGTCTCTGGAGGAGAATTGTCCCATTGGCAATCATACCACATCTTCTTTTTTAAATTAATACGAACTTACATCATACTCAGTTTCAAACGCGTTGTCTTTCTGTAGCATGTATTCCACATACTGGGGCAACATCTCTACTTGAATACCGTCTCGTCCGTCAAAGTCACTAAAATGCACAGTTGGTGGAGGAGGAGGCAGTCCTTCGGTCGTTAATAAAATGGCATTTACGTCTGCAACAATTTCTTCAGGTGGTGGTGGTGGGAAATCGTAATAATCCATATGTGCGTCTGCTTCTCCACCACGTGGTATAAGGGTGCCATTTTGTTTTGGAGTGTCAAAACGTATAGTATTACGCATCACCCACTCATCTTTTTTTATTTCGTCATAATTAGCAAATTGGTTATTGTCTATTCCTATAATATGAAATAGAAAGTTTAATTAATCACGTGCCATATTTTAAATGATTAATTAACATATGATCAAACTAGGAAACTAAGGCCCAACTCCCTCAGACAAAGCCGACCTTCGATGAATTTGACTATTAATTTTAAGTCCATTTTTCACATATTGAGTATTGAAACATACCTAGCTTTCAAATGTTTGAGGTTTGAGCGTTCTTGATGAAGGTACATCCATAAAAGCGCTTTGGAAAAACGAAATTTAAAAAGTAATCTTTTTCTTTATTCCTATAATTTATTTGTCCCCATACGCAGTGAAAGGAATGCAAAATATACTCGTAACATTATTATGCATATGAAACGCATTAATAAAAATAAATTTTTTGACATTGTTTCAAAACTATCCGTCCTCATATCATCTAAGTAAAAAGAAGTTTGACATATCTTTTTAAATGGAGCATGGCACATGTTTAAGTCAAAATCAAAAACTTGCTTCTAATGTGTAAGGTTATCAGATTAGGGAGTTTTGATAAATAGTGTTTTTAACAATGGAAATCCGAATCTATGATAAAACATTTCATTTCCTTTCATTCATTTATCTTTGAAAATAAAAACACAGTATTCAATTTTCACTTTGCAGTTTTCCAATGAATTTTCCCTTTGATTGGTTATGCTTTCTTTTCTATATTAATGCTATCCACTGGATTTGCAAGTGATTGTAGTTTAGTTGTTACCGCATGTTATTACCTTTTTTGGCATGGATGCAGCTTCAAAACTTGCTTAACTTGACGGTTACCGATAAATTTCAAACTTTAATTTCAGTTGAAGTCGATGTACCAGTATAAAATTGAGAATGGAAATGGGGAGTATTTCAAAGAGACAACAACCCGACCAAAGAGCAGACAACAGCCGAAGGCCACCAATGGGTCTTCAACGCAGTGAGAAAATCCCGCACCCGGAGGTGGTCCTCAGTTGGCCCCTAAATAAAATTGTGTACTAGTTCAGTAAAAATGGACGTCACACTAAACTCCAAAACAAATAAATGAACTAAAATTAAAAAACATACAAGACTAGCAAAGGCCAGAGGCTCCTGACTTGGGACAGGCGCAAAAATGCGACGGGGTTAAACATGTTTTGTGAGATCTCAACCCTCCCGCTATACCTTTCTTAACAACGGACACATTTAAGTTTAATTTCGAAATCTATAATCATTCAGGTAAATATTACTTTGAACAACTGAATAAAAATGTACAAATTTATATGTATGTATGTATGCTACGTATAAGCCTCCTTTCACTAGGAGCACCACCATGAGTTATGGTGTAAAGGAGGACATTTAGCACACTGTATCGGAACAGATTTAATGTGAGCATTTGCCTACCTAGTTCCCCAGCCTGGCCGTGACAGGACTTACTTCCAGAAAGATAATATTCCCCAAAAAAAAAGAATAAAAAGAATGCAGTAAAACATACGAACATATTAATAACAGTTAACAAGTTTCATTTCAGATTTTCCAAAACATTTAAATTATTACATACCTTCCAAAGAATCATCTGATCGAGGTGTTAAGACATCTTCACTGCCGTTTTCTTTAGCATGCCTGTCCCTGCAAATAAAATAAACCGTTAATGATAGCTATTGAGTCATGGTTTTTCATCCATTTTTATTAATTTTGAAGTCGGATTAAAGCTAGTACTTTTTTCGGATAACTACGGACCCACTGTCTTTGACAGTTTACAAACATAAAAGACAAAAAGACAAAATCACAGACAAATAAACCTTAATAGCAAATTTACTAGATTGTACATCAATTATATGTAAAAACCACCTTCCATTGTTTTAATTTATGTTAATTCATTCATAGGTAGTGAAAATGAAAATAGGAAGATCTGGTATAAATGCCTATGAGACAACTCTACACCAGAGATCGAATGAGGTTTGCAACTATAGGTCGACATACGGCCTTCAACAATGAACAAAAATCATACCGCATGGAAATCTATAAAAGACCACGAAATGAAAAATGGTAATCAATTCAAACGGGAAAACTAACGGCCTGATTAATGTACAGAACAATACGCTAAAAGCAAATATGATATACAGCAGCAAACGATAACCACTGAATTACAGGCTCATGACTTAAGACAGACACGTCTACTACGCCTCATCAGTAACGCTCAAAACAGTTAAAAAGCCATATAAAGTACGATGGTAAAATGCATTGAGGATATAAATTCCGAACACACACGTCGTTTAGCATTTAATCACAGCTTTATGCGTTGATGAGATTAATTACTGCAACATTAAATGGTCATTCAACTTTAACATGCTATAAATGTTTGTAAATTTTCCAAAATATTTGAATTCCTTTTCAATGTTAAATATTTGTATTTTTTCCAAAAGTGATTGTTTATGTCTTCCTTATAAACTTATGAACTTTTAATCCTCTGTTATTTAACTGTTTTATACCGTTCATTTAATATCTGTGCCAAAGTTTTACTTAAGAAAAATGCGCAAAAATATTTTGATATAAAACTAAGAAGATGTGGTATGATTACAAAAAAGCATGTAAAAATATGCATTTTAAATGTTGAATATTTGGCAATTTTTCTAAAAGTGATAGTTTAAGTCTTCCTTTTGAACTCATGAACTTTTGATCCTGTGTTATTTAACTGTTTTTTACCGTCCATTTAATATCTGTGCCAGCCAAAGTTTTATGTAAGTAAATTGCAAAAAATATATTTTGAAATAAAAAATTAAGATGTGGTATGATTATAAAGAACACAATTATGCAGCAAAAAACATGTTTTTTCAATGTTAAATATTTTGTTATTTTTCCAAAAGTGAAAGTTGATGTCTTCCTTCTAAACTTTGATCATCTGTAATTTAACTATATTATACCGTCGATTTAATATCTTTGCAATTTTTTTTATGTTAGAAAAATGTAAAACATAATTTGATATACAAACAATATCTCTGCCAAAATGTTATGTAAGAAAAAAGTATTTTTATATAAAAAAGGAGATTTTGGTATGAAAACAAAAAAGCCTGTTAAAGCCTTTGCAATGTTAAATATTTTGTAATTTTTCCAAAAGTGATAGTTTAAGTCTTCCTTCTAAACTTGTGAACTGTAATTAAACAGTTCTTATACCGTCGATTATATAACTTTTCTATAGTTTTTTTATGTAAGATATAAAAATAAGGAGGTGTAGTATGATTCTATAGACGACAATTATGCAGGAAAAACATATGGCTTTTCAATGTTAAATATTTTGTAATTTTTCCAAAAGGTATAGTTTATGTGTTCCTTATACATTTATGTACTTTTGATTCTCTATTATTCAGCTGATTTTTTTATATCGTCGATATAATAATATCTTGAGTTTTATGTAAGAAAAATGCAAAACATATTTTGATACAAAAATAAGGAGATATGGTATGATTACATAGAAGGCAACTATTGAACAAAGACTTCAGGACACAGATATTAACACTGTCAAGTCATTGCACGACATTTAGCAATAGCGAAACCCACCCTAACGTATAATTAACAATAAAAGGCACTAGGATATTTAAACGTTAAACATTTTAAAAGTAAAGACAAGCGGCCTTATGAGTAAATTCAAGTGAAAATCAACCAACACAATTTTCATATGAAACAACAACAGGTACCAGAATTTATTTCATGTGCTGCCATTTTTGCTTCAGTACGTCAAAGTAGATATTAAAGCCAAAGACTTTTTGTTGCGATAAATGATTTATTCTAAATTCACTAGTATCAGCAACGCTCATAAAAATTCATTGGAGGCTACTAGTTTTATCAACACGGGACTACAGATAATACAAAAAATCTCACTAATGCCAAAGCGCATGAGCAGAAAATAAAGATCTAGTTTTATCGCACAGAGTGTGACTATTACACTTACATACTTGTACGTTTACTTGATATTTCATAACATTTTGTCGAAACTTATTTGACAGTTAATCAAATGATGAAATTTAAGAAACAAAAAGTATTGTCTACTCCAAAGCATAGATCGTATTTGGTCCATTTTTTCGGAATTTTTTGTTTTTAATTCTCCTTACGTTCACCTGATTCGATTCAAGTGCCACTGATAAGTCATATGTAGACGAACGCATTACTGACGTACAGAATAATAAGCCTGTTAACTTTGATGAGTTTTCACTTACTTGTTTCTAAGACAGTGGCAACATACAATGATCACAATGATCAACAATACTACTGCCCCACCTATGATTGCACCAATTACAATGGCTATGTCAACTTCAGTATCATTCTTAATGGTTGTACCTAGGTTAATATATCAATAGAGACATGAACTAACAGGTCATGAATAACACATGCAGCTTAACTTTTTTCATGGTTTTCAACAAGTAATTAAATATTTTAAATGTATAATTAACCAGAAGGAAAACAGGCATCCAAAATATGAGTTACAAAAAATCCTTTTGTAACAAAAATACCTGAATATTTAAACACATTTAATTTGCTTACACATAAACTGAATAACATCTTTCATTTCATTTTGTATTCAATATAATATAACACATCTGAAATTTAACATATTACTTCTATATGAAAAAAATAAAAGATGATCTTACATGTTAAATTATTAATAAATGAAACATATAGGCACTGAATCAACAAATAATAATTGAAAGAATGATGAAACATATTAACCCAAAACAGAGGAATAGAATTCGGTATAGAAATAATTGGGAGGTCAGAGACGATCTCCGTTTTTTGCAAAGATCAACATATACCGTCCGACATTAGTTTAGAACCACATTGATCTATAAATTTAATACTTATTTATTATTACATTGTCAAATTAGATGAGATACCCAGTAAATGTGTACTTAATTCAAGCTAAAAATCAATGTTTGTGTAAAGAAAAATAATTCAAATGAGAAAGCACTAACGCTTTGATCTTAATTTGCGACTTAATTTGAAAGTTTTTGTTTTTATCTGCAACTTCGTATTTTTTTAAGTGGACTTTGGTTTCCAGGGAAAATGACTGCGTCACAAACATTATGTTTGTTCAGGGGAAACCTTTAATTATAAAAGGTTTTATTTCCAAAATGTAAGAAAACTTATTAAAAATCCGTGTACATCATAGAAAAAGCTAAGTTCGCGATCTAACCCAAGAACTGTTAAACATTTATTTATAAAATATTATGCATTTTTTTTTTTATTTTCAGGGAGATGAATTTAACTAAATACCAGTCTGGTTTCCTGAATTGTATTTTATTTAAAGATATACACCTTTATGAGTTCAATGTTCCTTTATTGGGCAGAAAATGAATCGTTTTCAAGGAGAAACTAACTTACATTCATATGACCAAAAACGTTTTAATTAAAAATAAATTGCTTCGCCGAGCGCAGCTGGATACGACCTCAGAGGTCTGGCCCTGAGCAGTTGGGGCAAAAATGGACACAATATTCGCGCTTGATACAGGTCTGAATTTGGATTGTAATTAAATATTTGACACATAATAGGTTTCTGACACAGAATAACTGTAGTCAAAGAACTTAGAATTGGTTATATGATTTGAATTTATTTTCAATTTTTTGCTGTTGTGCAATACACTTTGCTGTTGCGAATTGACCCCCCCTTCCCCCACAAAAAAAATACCCCCCTTTTTTGCTTTTGTGCAATACACTATGCTGTTGCGTATTGACCCCCCCCCCCTCCCCCCCCCCACACACACACTTTTTTTTTTGCCAAAAAAAAATAATATTTGAAGATTTTATCTTTTTAATTTCTGAAATCTGAAATGAGAAAAAATTGACCCCCCCCCACAATTTCTTTTTACCCCCCATCCCCCAAATTTTTTTCACCCCCCCCTTTCAAAAAAAAAAATCCCTCAAGATATGGTCATAATCTCAAATTTCCAATGGAGTTTGCAACCATAATTGCCCATTTAAATACCTCATAAAAGTCTTAAAATAGAAAATGACATACATCATCATGGTTAAAATCAATATTCCTTAATAGTAACTTCTAAAAATAAATTGACAGCTAATCATCTCAAGAGTATACAACATTTCTTTATACATAATTTAAAAGCAGTGTAAGGGAGGTAATCAAAACGTTGTTTTTGGATTACCTCCCTTACACTGCTTTTGAATTGTCTTAAGTAATTGTCCATTTACCAGGAAACCCTTGTTTTTCCCCCTTTTTTTGCCCCTAATTCCTATACGGTTTGAGCCATAACCCCCCAAAGTAAATCCTAATCATCCCTTTGTGGTATGGAAACTTTGTGGTATAATTTCAGAGAGATCCATACACCGTTCCACAAGTTATTGTCTGGAAACTTGAAAAATGCTTATTTTGGGCCCCTTTTTGGCCCCTAATTCCTTAACTATTAGGACCATAACCCCTAAAATCAATCCCAACCTTCCTTTTGTGGTAATAAACCTTGTGTTTAAACTTCATAGATTTCTATTTAATTATACTAAAGTTATTGTCCGGAAACCAACTGTCTTCGGACGACGCTGACGACGACGACGACGACGACGACGTGATACCAATATACGACCGCAAAATTTTTTGCGGTCGTATAAAAAAAGTAGTGGTACTTCAATTTGTCGGAATATATGTTATTGATCATATTGCAGCAAACATTGATCTTCGTGCTTGAGACGTGGAAGCAAGAGACAGAATTGTCTTAAAATAAAGATGCAGACTTTACATAATCGTAAATTCTCCAGCAAACTAAAGATCAATATCTTTTAATTTTGCCACCGATGAGTCCTATGAAGACAACGCGCTCGTCTGGTGTACTAAATTATAAGATGATTTTGTTTTGATTAAACGATACAAAAATATCCTAGAGTTTTGTTATCATTTTTATTCACACACATTGTTAAAATTAATGAAACCGTATGGACATAACTTCGAGGACAATATAACGATCTACAGATATTTACTTTAGTGAACTTCGGCTTGCTCCATCCATGCTCACCTTGCGTCTTCGTTTTTATTTTTGTCACCTATTATTATTGAAAATTAACTAAACATTTTTTTTTCCCGCAATACGTCTAATGTCCTTATTGGTACCATCAAATAATTCAAATAATTTATTCAGATGACAAGTTTTAAATGAATAAATTACTGATTATGGGTCCTTCTCCAATTCATTAGAGATTCTTAATTCTAAATCTGTAATGTACTCAGTAAAGTTTTTTTTTTGAGAACCACCGCAACTGGAAGATCTAGAATACAGTGATATTGAGAGTTATGAAATGAAGGTGGTTGCCTCACCTATCCTCTCAGTAACTGTTCAAACAATAACAAAATCTGCATCTTCAATTTTAAGTGACAAAATTAGAGCCAGCAATAGTTGTGCACATTTAAAGCAAGTGAAAATAAATAGAATAAGAGTTTTATTCAAAAGCATGTGCATCCCCATTAGAAAATGATTATAATTGGATCATTCAGACTTCTTTCTCGATTGCACCTTAAATACGATGTCAATACCATAAAGGTAACAACATTATTTTGTAATAAAATCACATACCAAGATTAAAACAATGTTATCAGATTCGAAAACAGCGTAATAAAAACAGTTTGCATCATTCATAAAATTGATAAACATTTGTTTGCAACAACAACAAAAAAAACAAGGGTAGCTAAGGTTCATGAAGGTATGATAAGAGTGTACGAACAGACGGAAATGAAATATGTTTCAATTCAAAAGAAAGAAAAAAAAAGTTGGGAAATTATTTCAATCAAGTAGAAATTTCAGATATTTTTAATAGGAATACAACCCTTTAAATAATATTAATCTTTCTGACTAAGATACACGACACCTTGTGTTTTACGAATATATATATATAAATAACGTCTGACACGTCTAAAAATATATCTTCTAGTATAATTTTTAAATGAACCCTTCATAAAACCTAGCTATATTGATATCCACATATTGAGCTACACTACATATATAAGATACACATATGTTGTTAATATCTAAAGTACACCGTTAATTGATTATATACTAAATATACCATGTGCCTGTGCGGGGATTATATTTGTTAATTGGTGTTAATGTCAAACCTTGACAATCACTTCCAGCACAAACGTCAACGTCAATACAACTTCCGGTCACCCGATCACAAACACTACCAGAGCAAGAAACTGGACAGGCGTACTTACATTTTTGTCCAAACCAACCGGCTTTGCACCCGGATGTACAGAACCCTGTGTTCTGATCACACATATTGTTTTCACAATTTGTACTACATGTTTCAGTGCATGAGAATCCATAGAGGCCATTTTCACATCCATATGAACAATTGTTTGACGAATAAATGCACTGTTTATTTTTACATCCGGGATAGCAGCTTTGGGTACAGGAATTTCCAAAGTATCCATCGTCGCATCCGAAAAAACAATTTCCATTTCCAGGGTTGCAATTTTCATTTGAAGTGCCAGCACAGTTTTTACAACTATTTTCACAGTATTCGCCGTATTTGTCAACAACACATCCCTGTGAACATTTTCCGGAATCCATGTCGCATTCACTGTTGAAACAAGTCTGTGAACACTCATTTGTGCATGATTGACCATACCATCCATTTGCACAACCGCCATTACAGATTCCAGTCAACTTATTACAAACTACATTTCCAACTGTTGACGACATCGAACAATGGCTATTACACTGACTTTGACAATTGTGTCCATAATATCCAGGTTTACATTTCGTACAAGTTCCAAATAATCTGTCACAATCTGTGCAAGTGATTACACAAGGAGTTTTGCATTGAGTGCCATAAAAACCAGACGTGCAGTTATATGTGCATTCACCACTATCACGATCACACAAATCGCCATTACAATTTTCACTACAACGAACATTACATGTAGCACCGTACCAACCCGTTACGCAGTTACCTGAACATCGCCCAGTAAGACGATCACAGGCAGAACTGATGCAATGAATTTCATTATTACAGGGTATGCTACAGTACGTTCCATACCATCCATCCTTACAACTGTTAAGGCAATATCCGTCTATACCGTCACAAATTATCTGTCCAGAGGGAGAGAGTCCACAGTTTGCATTGCAACTGCTTTGGCAGTTTACACCATATTTACCAGGAGCACAGCCTTCACAAGTTCCAGTAGTTTGATTACACAAGGTACAAGTAGAACAGGAATTATCACAAAGTTGCCCAAACTTTCCAGGTGCACACCCTTCAGAGCACAATCCCGTTGTCTGATTGCACCGAGAAAACTTGCAGTTATTACTGCAAGTGTTTGAACAAGTATCCCCATAATATCCCTCTTTACAAATACTGCATTTCCCTGTTTGTTTATCACAAGAACTACTTAAACAACCCATGCTACAAGTCTTATTACAATTGGTTCCATAGAAACCATCAATACACTTACCTATACAAACAGCAGTAGTTTGATCACATCCTGAATTATCGCACCCGGTACAAATATTCTCACAAGAAACACCATGGTATCCAGCTTTGCATCCTCCCACACACCTACCGGATGATCTATCACATGTTGTGCCTTTACAGTTACTGCTGCACGATAGCTCACATCTCGTACCGAATTTCATGTTTGGACAATTTCCACTGCACGTTCCGTCATCCTTATTACATTGATTTGTTGAACACGACGACGGACATAGTCTACTGCAATGACTACCATGATATCCGGCAATGCATTCTGACGTGCATGCCCCGCCGACTTTTTGGCAGGTTCTAGGTGAACAGTTTGCTGAACAATCTAAATCACAGTAATCACCATATTTGCCAGAAAGGCAATTTCCCGAGCATGCGCCAGTTGTTCGGTTACAACTATTACCGTCACAATTTGACCCACAAGGAAGTTGACAAAATTCCCCATAGAACCCTTGTTTGCACCCAGAGGAACACTTGCTATCTACTTGACTACATTTATTATTTAAGCAATTGGAGTTACAGGATTGTAAGCAATCGTTACCATGATATCCGTCTACACAACCGGCGTCACACAAGCCAGTATTACGATTACATGTTGTTAAGCAATTAAGACATTGCATGTCACATTTCTGGCCGTAACGTTTTACATTACAGCCACTACTACATATTCCATTGCTATCACACTCACCTTGGTTACAGTTTGTGTTACAATTATCTGTACATTTGTTACCATACCAACCCGTTTTGCATCCACCCGTGCAAGTTCCTGATGTTTTATCGCAAGAATTTAAAGTCGCACAATTATCGCTACATCTAATGCACTGACCGGAATCCAGATACCAACCAGTTTGACAGCGCTCACAAACGGTCGGTTGATTTGCAACACAAGATTCGCAATTTGGCAATGAACAGCTAAACGTATCGCAGCGCTGTCCATTCCATCCAGCAGAACAGCCAAACCGACAGTTTCCAGTGTCAGGAAAACACTTTGCTAAATTGGTGTTATCTGTTTTGCATCCTGTACTACAGGATGTGCAGTTACCAATTATTCCATCATAATAATATTCTGATTGACATTCGGTACAGACTGTTATACCAACAGATATCAATGCTTGACATTTCGTACATAAATTATTATTTGTCTCTTCCGAACATGACTTGTCACAACTTGAACCAAAAAATCCATCTATACACCCATTTAAACACTTTCTACTGCTTTGATCGCATTTTGGAAGTCCACCATTACAGTTCACGCAATAGGATGGAAAACACCCAGCAGTTTGTTGATCACATCCAAATTGGCAAGAAATAGGACACGTTGAACTGCAATCACTTCCATAATAACCCTTTTTACAACCTGACGTGCATTGGCCGGAAGTTCTTTCACATTCCAAGTTAATGCATCTTATCGAACAAGACCTGTCACAATACTGGCCCCATAGTGTTTTAGGGCAACTATTACAATAGCCTAGCTGTCTCTCACATCCACATGACAATCCAGATTGAATACATTGGTCACTAAGTGAACAGTTCTGGTTACATGCCTTATTACAGACGTCACCAAAATAATTCTTTGCGCATCCGTAACAGTTTCCATGCAATTGTTCACATCCACATTTCCCGCCATTACTGGAGCATTCAGTTCCATAATAGCATGTGGTAGAACAGTTGTACTGACAACTTCCACCCCATTCACCAAAATCACAGGTAGCTACAATTATACAGAAATTAGTTTAGTGGTTACCAAAAAGTTAAAAATTATCTAAGAAACGCTTATTCATTGGTGGATAATGAATTCAAATGTGTATTGCTGTTATCTTGTTCATACTATCCTACACAAAGTTGTGTCATCTTGTAAGTTCTTTTTGTATAGGTCTATTAAAATATTAGTATTTTCCAAAACTTCAGACGTTCAAAGAGAGAACTTTGATCTAAATAAACCTTTCATACACAGTATTACTTATATATTTTGCTAGCATCCTTTATCTTGTAATTGTTTTGGTTTATTTATTCTCAAAAGGGACCACTGTTAATTTTTCACCGCGTTTTAGTAGAAAATGATTAGTTGATTGTTGGTTGCTTAACGTCCAATTGCAATGGCAAATATGTCATGCATGTTCAGGACGAGAATAAATTAACAATAAATACAATAGGTAGGTCCTGTAATAGGCCGTCCGGGATGAAGGTCGGGGAAATTTTTGGACTGCCACGGGGAAATGAGGGTATATTGGATAGGGACAGTAATTTAGCCTTGCAACATGCCACTGACGGACCCCTCAAAGAGTTGTTGCAAGGGTTCTTAATGTGCAAAGAGCGTGGCAATCTCTTTACACAAGGCAGGTATCGGATTTAACGTTCTCATTCTGCCTGGACGTTAGTAAAAAGATAAAGCGAGACATACATTTAAAGATTTTTAAAAGTAAATTCAAAAGATATATTTGCAAATTTAGTTCGCATATGTGTTCCGCTAGGGACAAAAAATGGCACTCAAAAAACAACTTCATTGGATAGCAACAATACATTAATTCGTTTTAAGTACCAAATTTTTTTTTTTTAATTGGAAATTCAATTATTGTTTTTCCTTTATTGATATTGCATTTTATATAAAATCTCAATCATGGATATATTTTACGCTGTCCTTAGGATGTGTTCAACACATTCTGCGAGCTTCATATCAGTTGTTTGAAACATTTGAATACATTTTTTAGACAGATGCATGTAAAAGGGTCTGGATGGAGTTTACAGAATAGAGCATAATGAGCAAAAAGTGCAGAAAAAAGGCAAAAAAAAATAAAAAAATAATAAAGAATAGAGAATAATGGGGTGCTGAAATATAAAGAATGGAGGAAAATGGGCAAACAAAAATAAATTATAAAAATAGAGAAAAATGGCCAAGAAAAATTAGAGAATACACATATGGAGGACCCTCATCCATACCCTCATGTAAAAAAAACATAAGATACCAATATGAAAATTTTTGTTGCCGAACTTGGATTGTCAAGTTAAAGTTTGAAAATGAATTTAAAAAAAAAATCTTTACCTTTAATAAAATACCTTTTAATGGGAATGGAATGTTTTACTGTTAAATAGTATAGATATTGACTTGTGTAATCGATATATATTTTTATTTTTATACTATATTTTTTTTAAACACTGGAGAAATACACGACGCATCTGTCCTTTTCTCAGTGACAAAATATTAAACTATAACAAAAATTATTTAATCTAAGAAAGATTTAAGGAGCAGTGAGACCAGTCCACCATTTAATGGCTAAGTATTTTGCTTTTTATTCCATTTTCTGATTATTATTTTTTAAGAAGGCGTATCTCCCCAACTCATTTGAATTTCATGATTCCGTCATTGCAAATTTCAATCTTACTGCCAATGAAATGATTCAAACTTAATAGTCAAGAAATCTATTTTAACAATATTTGTTTCTGAAAACCAATATAACCTAAGGGTAGAATTGTAATTATTGACGATCATTCTATCTTGACAAGATGACAACATATAAAATATTGCAACGATGAGATTAAATGTTTACTTTAATATCAAATGAGAAATTACCACAAATATAATTTCTCGCCAAACATTTTGGAAAACCATAACGATTATCTATAAGAATAAAATGCAAAGTAAAAATAACATGTAACCATTTCTGAATGAACCAATCTTGAAACCTATGTCGCGTTACTTTTGATCTCGTGCACATTTTGTAAAGTTAGTTTAGAAGATTTGGCTGGAATGGACTGAAACCCATTTGTACTTTATATATAATAATAAAAGGATGGGTCTGCACCGCTACTGGTGGGCATTCAGTCAACAAAAGCACGATCACCATAATTTTATATGTCTCTTGTAAAAAACAGATTTAGTACATCAAAAATTCCATAGTTTTTCACATATAACATCAGTAGAACATTTTTAATTTGTTTGTTAAGTTGTTGGGCGTTTGATCTTCAAATGGTACTAAATATTTGTATGAGTGTTTGTTTGTTTATATATTTGTGTGTCTGTCGTTCTATATATAAACTTAAATGTTAATAACAATACACACAATACATCATAGTCATCTCTATTGAATGGACAGCTGAATTTAAATATAAATACACAGCAATACAAAATGCCATTATATTCACTGAGGTTAAACGAGATCAATAGATACCTTAATTTAATTGGTCATAAATGTCTGATACAACCAGTAATAACACTTATCTGATCACAGGAAGACAAATTTAGATTTATTGCTAATTAACGCATATTTGTACAGGTAAAGGAAGTCAGTATGTAGAAGGCTGAGTAAAGTATTTACAGTAGTAAAACATTTAAAGTGTGTTTTTCTATGTTGTGATGTTATACTATTGTTTCAAAAAAGGGAGAAGGTTTGGTACCATTAAAACGTTTAATCCCGCTGCAAATGTTTGCACCTGTCCTAAGTCAGGAATCTGATTACAGTAGTTGTCGTCTGTTTATGTAGTTCATACGTGTTTCTCGTTTCTCGTTTTTTATATAGATTAGACCGTTGGTTTTTCCGTTTGAATGGTTTTACACTACTAATTTTTTGGGGCTCTTTATAGCTTGCTGTTCGGTGTGAGCCAATGCTCCACGTTGAAGGCCGTACCTTGACCTATAGTGGTTTACTTTTATAAATTTTAACTTGGATGGAGAGTTGTCTCATTGGCACTCATACCACATCTTCCTACATCTAAAGTCAACACTGGCGTAGGAGCCGTTGCAAGCGGTTCAATTGTCCCCCACTTTTAATGCAAATGAAATGACAGACTAGTATACTATATGTGTAAGACTATACAAAGATTTTTTTGCATGTCATTTTCAGAAGTTTGCCCCCCCCCTCCCCTCCTTTCACCCCCTTAACAATTTTTAGTCGTCCCCTTTGCCACTGAATTGTTAAACAATTTCAAATGATTGTACAGAAAATCTTTCTCACTAAATAAAGAATATGGAAACAATAACATACTTTGATAAAAAAATAACAAAGACGCAGTCCAAACTTTATCTTTTCTAATTATTTTTTCTTCTTCGAGGTATGCATTATCATTTATTTTCAAACACACATAATAATTTAACAGCACAGTTTCATGAGTGCATACAAAAAGGTGTGTCCAAGTCCAAGTGGCTGATTTTCATTTTAAATTTCAATATTTAAAAACTGGAAATTTGATAATAAATCTTGTTTATTTCGAAATTTGTTATTTACTCAATAGCAAATATAACATATATATATATATTATACAAATTAGCAACTAACAAAAGAAATAGCATGACTTGTTTACATGTGATGTCAGAAATAAGCCACCATACATGTGTCCTAGATCTTTGAAAATCGTCAATTTTCGAAATAACCAACCAGTTTTTTGTTCGGACTTTTAAGAGGTGAAGCATTGCAAATGTCTATGAATGATTGATTGGCCATTTACTATTTGATGGGTATTCTATGTCATCTCAAAGATATAACACAATGTTACGACATATCAATCCCCGTTTAACCCAAAAATTCCTCGCATCTTCAATGTCCTCAAATTTCTTTAAATAAACGTAAATGTATATACAAAAATAAATAAAATGAAATTCGTACCAAAACGGTTTTTGAAATGCATTCATAACTATTTACGGAAAGTCGTAAATTACTACTATTTCGAACTTTTCGCAATGAAATTTTATTGTACGGTTAACCTTTTCATAAAAAATGTGAAAATGATTTACACTTTAACACGGTTATTTAACAGAAACGTTTTTCTTTGGGCCATATAATTTGAGGGTATACAATTACTGCTTCTTGTTCTCGTGTGATTTAAAGTAAAAGTAACTGTCAAGCTTGTCTTGTCTTGTTGACATTCCTCTGTCAAATCATCATTTAAATTGATAAAAGGTGAATGCATTGTGTTTGTAGTTAAAAGGTTAACAAATATCAGGATTAACATTGCATACATATGCACTTTGTATAGGAACCTCTTGCTCTTTGGTCCGGTTGTTGTCTCTTTCACACATTTCCCGGTTTCCATTCTCTATTATACAATATGTAAACGTTATAAACATTAATAAAACAATTCTTTACAATTATGTTGAGCATATGATTTCTAAAAGTCCTGACAAATAAGACAGTTCATTTCTTAATCTTAAAACAAATGCGCTCATTGACCACTTAACAAATATTCATCGCGTCGGACAAACGAACTTTATTAAGTGTTTATTTCATTTTGTAGCCAATCATGCTAGAAAAAATATTACTTAATTTCTCAATAATTCCACCGTAGTACAAACCCGTAAACACATATATTTAATTCATTATATCATTTAGACCTTTAAAGTCGTTCAAATTCGTTATCAGATTGTTGAAATAAAAGATAAATTGTTCACTAATTTTCCTGTTTACAAATTTGCGTATTTTCTTATTAAGGGGGTGTTACCGTTATGCATATCGAAATGTATGATAGAGGCAAATATTCAGTATTTGTATTTCATATGATACTTGATACAAAACCAATATTTCATTACATTTTTGTTTATTTTCTATCCAGCTTTTGTTTAAATAGTGCAGAAGTACGCTCAATCAAACTTTCCTCGAAATTAAGTAAATCTTCACATATTTCATAAATGCTAAAGGTTAATGCCATTCAGAATTGTTTGATACAGATAAATTTTCAGTATTTCTGTATGTTTATTCTTCTGTTTTGGGAAAACATTTCTAA